GATGTCTCTGGCAGCATCTCAACTACGTGGGTGAACAAATTTTAAAAAGCTGGCGCGCAGAATGGCTAATTAAGCGTAATATAACCTAAGAGCTTATGCTAATTGAACTCTACATAGGTGTATTGATAAACATCTGCGAGCGCCGTTTCTTAGGAACGTAGTCAGGAAGGACGCATGTACCTTTGCATCGCCGTAACATCGCTCGTTACTGGGCCGTAACAGGTTGATTTCTCCAAAAGGCTGAACCGAATCAACACCCACTTCTGGTTACGTTCAAAAACCTTCAATTAGATGCCAATGGGATCAGTGAAAAGCTTAAGAGTAAATCAAGCGGACGATACGTATACGTGAAAAAAAGGCGTATTTTTATTAAGTCGTCCATCATTAGTATTAATACACCTATAGGAAATATTTAGTACGTACTAAGGAAGTCCATTAGTACCCATTAAATGTGCTTGGCTTCTTTAAGCCAGTACTTTGCCATAACGAACGATAATAATTAGGCAAAAATATTTCGATTGAAAGGACTTCTGTTGTTACAGACGCTTCCTTCGCTGGTCACAGCTGGCGCAGTTTCGTGACATTAATTTCTTATTATTTGCTTGTAGCGGTTGCTATTACGAAAATGTGCCTTGAATATACATAGATTTTTAAGGCACTCCAGCAAATGAATGGTCTCTTGGTTCAATTCTATTTCCGTCCGCGGTCTCCGTTGTGGTTGACCGTGGCCTATGTCGTAAGGCTTAGTTTCTGTTGTTCGAGATCGGCTGGGATCCGGATCGTTCGTTGTTCGATGGATTGCGGAGTGTCTATTATGTTTGAATAGAAATTGAATAACGAATTGAATAGAACGGGTGGGCTAGAAGAGGCGAAGGAAGAGAAGGCCGGTCGCCGCTTGCGGCCGGCCCTTCAGTCCATTCCATTGCAACGGCAATGGGAAGCGGCTGCTAGAGCAGACGCCGGATGCCGGCACGTGACTCGAATGTAGCATGCATTTACCTCTGAACCAGCTAGCAGCTTAATCTGATTTAGAATTGAGAATTCAGACTGGCCACCGATCTCTTTGGGACGCGCACGACAGAGCCAATGCTGGTGTCGGGATCAGATGAGGACACCGAGCTCACCCACTGACTATTGGCGCAATCGGGGCTACAGCGGAGACAGTTCTTATTCAAAGACTAAGAGGTAGCCGGTAGTCACCTGACGATTTCTTAGCGTCCGAGAATCACTCTGCTATTCCCTATTGCCTTGTCAATGCGAGCGGACGCTAAGTTGCGAAACGAAGTTTTTTTTTTGAATTGAAGTTGCCTTTTAAATCAAGCGGATGAATTAGTGAACGTATCTCGAGGGGAAATCTCTAATGAAGGTTCTTAGACCTTGTAACGTCACCTCTTGGCGTCTGTCTAATAATAAGGTATACACATTATAAATTTGTTTACTTTTATAAAAATTGCACCTACGCAATTTCTATGCAGAAAAAAATTCGTAAAGCACAAGATGCATACTGATTGCAGCTTTCGGTAGTTTTGACGTGATGAACAGTTCTTTAATACTCTGCCCTCTGTTACTGCTACATATTTTGCTCTGAATTTACGACCTGAGGGGACCGAATTAGAAGATCATTATCTACCGCGGCACTGGTGGTTCACCGGGGGCCATAGGGAACTAATATCATTCTCTACTAGCGGGACCCTTGCACGGTCAGGCGGAAAGGAAACACCATAATAAAGTTGAAATTGTCAAACAAAGATGAATCTGAAAAATTGAATTGGGCTACGAAGATGAAGACAGCCAAAGACTATTCCTATCAACACCACTACAGCCTGATTGATTTTTAACAGAAATCTAGAAATATTAAATTTTCACCCCTTCGGAACAAGAACGCCCACGCACGCTCATAGACACGGAAAGGGACAAAGCTGCCGTCAGTAGAGATCCGACCATCGAAGTGTTTCGCCGTTGTGCAATCGAATTACTTTTAGGTACAGTTTTACTTTTGCTTTTAATAAGCCTGCATAAACATACATAAGCAAATCATTGTAGTTTTTCCCAGACCTAGAGACGTTATTTACGAACGACAATGCGGTTCTTCAGCAACATTTGTGCGCTATCTTTGACAACGACTTTTTTGCCCTGTCCTGCTCTTCCATTAATTGCTTCAACAACTACAACAGGTATGCTCTTGCATTTCGTAGTTGACATTTTCTATTGCTGAATAGGCGTACCAACAACTTAGCTAAAGCTACAGATAGCGCTCAAAGCAAACTAAATGGAATCTGCAGTGAGAAACGCTATCGACCTGAGACGGTATCAACTCGGTGCCCCCCGCCGCTCTGCATGGAAGATAGATTTGCTCTCCAAGTCTGCCCCCAAATAGCATCGGTAAGTCTGCCTGCCATTGGTTATTACTGAGAGACTAATAAACACAATTAAGCAATTCGAGTGATGGGCAGCAGTTGCGTTGCCCTAATCGAATTTCGATTTCGACGGTTTCGTGCAGAAGGGCGTGCAGAACCTCTTCACAAGGCGCCTTCACGTAGTGATTTGGCTCAGATGTCGGTGATAGCAGGTAACTTCGCTAGTGTACGACGGGGGCGTAAAATTAGCTGTAGTGATTTGTGGGCGGGAGAGAACCCCTGCAGCGATGGTTCCTTGCCTTTGCCGTATATATACAGAACGCGTGGATATGTGGGACCTTGAATGGTAAATTGCTTTCATGTGAATCTCTTCGACGCGTCAGTGAGCACTTCGATCGTAGCTGGCGCTAAGCCGCTGCTTTCAACAACAAGAAGACAGACAAGTCAGTAGGTCCTAGACAGACGAATCATTTCTCATGGTCCTTATAGCTGTGTCCGCGATCATCTGGTAGACGTGATCCAGTGAAGTGGAATCATTTTTCACAAGCGTTACTGCCAGTTACTGTACAATGAGTGTTATTTCATCTTCGGCAGAAAATAGCTACGAGAGACCTATCTTCTTGCTTAAGAGGTTCTTGATTAATGAAGTCTAGAAAAGACTTATAACCTCACTAGGAGTCGTTTCGATGTCCACGCAATAGGGGATGACGAAATTAATGTACCCGCATTTGGTCAGCCAACATTCGATCTATAGTCAAATTACCAAAACTGCTAAGACACCATATCACTAAAATACTTTATTTGCAATATACCGTCACCATACCTGTATTCCACATAGGGCTAGAGGTGTAACAGGCATTTGCCTGGCTGACGCGCGATCGTTTCTAATACATCTATCTTCTCTGTGAATTCGCGGAAGCAGTTACAGATCGCTCGGCCTGCTTAAAGGAGGTGGTGTGCTCCAGGTATAAGCTTACCAATCACCAACGACGAAAGCCGAAACACGATAACGGCAACATGTATGGGAAAGCGAACTTCAATCTTATTTGCCAGCCCCAATGTAATGCAGCTAAATCAACTGAGATTGGTAGCCATCACCGTATATTGGTTGAATTCTATATGCATTCCTTTTATGCACAAGCTTTAATGGTTCACACACATGTACGGACCGTGTATAAACACTCGCTTTTCTGGCATGCACGGAATAGCATGTCTTCCTCTTCGCGATCTTCTTAGCAGTTTAAGCTTCGAAATATTTACATTGCGTTAATGATTTTATCGACCCCAATTCAAAACGCTCGAAAGATCAGATTTGTCAGTAGGGGATGATTTGAGTTAGATCAGAAGACTCTTTCATCTCTTCATGATCGAGGTTCCTGTCATAACAGCTATGCCAATAATAAAAAGAAATTGTGCTTATATGGATCAATACCTGCTCAGGTGAAATCGTCCCCGTTTAATCCCGCCTAATCAATATTTCAATTTCTAGTCAAGCTAGTATCCGCTGGGCGCTGTAGACGTATACTGAATATATCGATATTACATCCGATATTTTTAGGCGTCTTTCACTCACATACAAATGGTCATCTCGCCGATAAAAACTGACCAACAGCGGCTCATTTTATGAGGCAGAGGGACAGTGTTGGGTTGGCGTATGGCAACGGGGTGCGTTATAGGGTCGAAATCCCAAAGCTACTGGGCAAATGTCCAACTTCAACGGGTGTAGCGCTGCTGCTGTTCAAATCTAGTCCGAGGAACAGTAGCGCTTTCACTTGCCCTCACGGCTATCCTCAGTGACTCAGCGATGAACGTACCGGCAAACACTCACAGACTCGAAATCCGCAAAACGTGTGCTCAATCCCGTTCCAACGTGGGGGTCATAAGGCTGACCCCATGGGTATAACGGACGGTGGTCAGGTCGGGTCCACCTTTAGTTTTGAAAGGACAAATCAGAGCTCAGCTACTTGAGCTCTAGGCAAAACCTTGGTCAATCGCACGTTGGGGAGAGCAAGCGAGCTTCCGCGGACTCAATTGCCCATTTTATACATCCATGTGCCTCCGTATGGATACTAATGCTGAAATGGTACTGGTACGTACTACCGATGCAAGCATGTGTGCAGATATGTATGTATATATGAATCCGCACGGTTTATAGGCGTCGGCAGAGCAATATGCATGGTTTCACAAAATCGGCTTTTCTGTTGACGCTATGACAGGTGGTGCATGATGGAAAAAACTATCAGTGCAGAGAGTACAGATGTGATAAGCTTAAACGAGGTAAGCGGTTGTGTACACGCTTTGACGCTACTGGTTAAGATCAATCATTTTGTGTGTGTGTGTGTGTGTTTAAAATTATGGTCTTAAGCGAACCTGTACGTTTATACAACGGCTCGAAGAGACGTATTCCGTTCAGCTGATGGTAAGCAATATTTGTATAAGTCGAATATACTTAACGAACAAAACGAAACGTGGACGAACGAATTGCTCTATGAAAGTCTTCAGGCTGTTAATGTCAGTATCCCTCGACTTCGATTGTGAGCTTTCTGCCATGAGTAGATGGTGGTAAGTACCGAGAACGTCGCCTGCATATTGCCCTTTTACCACGAACGGAGCAGTGACTGAAGGCATACTTTTCCGTTGCAGGTTATTCGGTGTGACGGGTTTGTGTTCCGCATGTCACAAAACAATACCAGCTTTCGAGATGGTGATGAAGGCCCGGGGCAACGTCTATCACCTCGAATGCTTCGCCTGCCAGCAATGCAATCACAGGTAGGTGGTACTTAAAGTTCGCGTAAGAAAGATAGAACAAACTTCAGTAGCTAAGTAGGCAATAAGGCTATCAAGCTGTAGAAAAACTCCCCTAACTACTAGCTTTTCTGATATGTCTACATTTTGCACTGTCACTATACGCTGATAAATAGGATGACTGCCGCACAGACATACAAGATCCGTGTTGCACAAGTATTATATCGAGCATACGGCGCAAAAGTGAGCACTCGTTTGTTACTAATTATTAACACATGAAGGTAACTGGAGATAACAAATGATCAACATGTTTACAACTGATGGTGTCGTGCGTTTGTCATCTGCACTCTCGTTCAGTCTAACCTCGATATCCTTCTACGCGCACTATTTCGGTCTGCCTATTGCATATACTAGATCTGGTTATTCCGTTAGTGTCGCATCTGACTCCTGCAGCTTGACAGTTGCCAAGGATCTGGGCCTATTCTCGCTTTTTCGTTTCACCTCTGCTTCCCCATCTCAGCAACTAACGAGTTGTTCGTTGAAGTTTCGTGCTCGTTGCATATCGTGTACGACGCTTAGTGAAATTGTTACAGCATATCTTTCGAAAGTTTTCCGTGCTCTCCTCGCACACCATTCGTCAGAATTGTCTGTTGGTCTTTGACACCGCCCAGCGGAACGTGCAGCTCCAATAGACGGGACACTCGCACTCTCATAATCAGTTTAGTATCACCTCGTTCAAACTAAATTAGTTAAAAGAGAGCTATGAATGACAGAGACGCGGACACGGCGTCGGCAATCGCTGGCCTATAAGTACTGAAAGAGGAAGCTGTTAACTCAAGTCCGCCCAACGGATGTCAGTTTCTGCTTGATAATTGCCTCTGCTGCTGCTGCTGCTGCTGCTGCTGCTGCCGCCAGTATGTAGCGATGCCCCCCCATCTAAACAAACTCTAGCTTTTCGTCATAGCATGAAATAGCTTAGGTTTGAACGAATTGTTGGTCTTGTCACTATGAATATCCGAATATGCAGGCACGTACGTCCGGAGCAATATGTTAAGATCGGCAGATGGGTACTGCCACATGAATATAATGCTTGTATATTAGGTGTTGTCTTTGTTGGATCTCTATGAACAACGAAGCATAAATAACAGTGCTTTGTTATACGTTAGTCACCTAATACTCTAAAGGGCCTAAGCAACATAGGCCTAGGTAAGGCAGATCATCTGGAACGATTGTTTAACGAACGACAGCTGTTGCATACGCACAAACACGTTACTGACCCCCACGACAACTTCCATCCAACGCTAGTTAGAACCAAGATGGGCTAGATTCATCTGCATTGTGGGGTAGTCACGCTATTCTGTCTTGTCTCGTCTAGAAGCGCGAATTAGCTTCAGTTCAACATGGCTTTCAATTACTAAGAAAACAACTTTTTTCGTTGTTCCTATCGACGCCTAAATTTTTATGTTGACCTTGTGCCGTTCTGCTACATCAATTCAACAAACGTCCCGACTATGGCGACCGTAATGGACGCTTTACTCACACCTCTATGACGGGCACAATCGCCTGTCAAAAATACATACAGCGCTCATGCTGCACAGTCGATAGCGTTGCGAGGTCGCTCCCTGTGCATCCGGTCTTTCCTCTCAACTTTTTCGCGTGTTTTCCTCAAGGCGCCACTTTGCTGCGCCACATAGATGAGTGTTAGAGCAGTAACTGGCGCATCGATATCCCTATGGGACAGCGTTGGCTGATATAATTGAGTTTGCTTTGTCAGTGAGCGGCCCAGTATCGGAGGACTCTGGGCGCATAAATGTGAGTCGAGTGCGTAGTACGCAGACGAATTCAGCGTCCGGGGGGAGGATAGCACAGCAGACAGGGGCTTCCTAACGGCGGTTTCCTCCTTCGCTTGCTCAACAGCAGTAGCATACAGGTCGAGCTATTGGTGGCTATTTTGAAGAGCTTACTTTCTCGATTCGACGGTGCGGACAACGGCGAAAGAATAGTTGAAGAAGATAAGCAAAAATGATAGTCCACTGTGGGTGAACTGGCGGAAACTATGGATGATCGTTTCTAACCTAGCCACCACATAGCGACTGTGGACAGGATCTGCGGATGTAGACAGACAAACTGATCTTTCCCGGTCCTCTCTGATCGTTTCCTGAAGCCTGCGAGGCCCCCTTCGCAGAGGCCAATTCCTACCATAGTCCGCAGAGGCGGGTAGTTAGTACGGGAGAGCCTTATCTCATTTTTTGTCCCAATGTGAAGAGGCCACTGGCCCTTAGCGGGTTACCCGGACGTTGGGTTTTGATACACGTGGTGGGCTCAATGAAATAGAATCAACGGAGAAACATCCGAACAGATAGAGGTTTCCTAATCCAGACAGAAACCTGGACAGTACCGGGAGATAGGCAACCACCGTAAGAGAGGAACTCATCAGGAAGAATCCACTGTGAAACGTAACTGTAAATTTGTGTGGCACTCCCACTGCAAAAGACAACGAACGGTTTATAAATATTATCTTTGTGCCTATTATTATCGTAGTAAATTTCAACCGTTAAGTGTAATTTATTGCTAAACAATTTAAATTAATGTTGCCCAACTGCATCGACAGAGCTCGAAATCGAAAACAACTTCTGTCTGAAGCTTTAGTATACGGTAAGCTAAAGAGGAAAATTAACACCAATCATAGCATAACTTCCTGTGCTTAATTCTCTAACTTACTGCTTAGGCAAGTTACTGGATATGGCTATTAATTGTACAAAAGCGTAGAATCGGACTAATAAACGTGAACCGCCGAATTCAAAAGTCTAGGATTCCCTCGAGTCATTTCTCTCTCTATCTCTCTCTCTCTCTCTTTTTTTCGTTCTCAATGTGATCTCTTCATAGGTTCTGCGTCGGTGACCGCTTCTATTTGCACGAAAATCGGATTCTTTGCGAGTATGATTACGAGGAACGAATGGTCTTCTCACAAATGGGAGCCTACGGCGGTTTGCAGGGCGGGCCACCGATGCAGCCTGTAGGTCATATGCAATCGCCAGGTCATCCCGGACACCCATCGGGGCACGCCGGAGCGCCGTACGGGCCACTTATGAACGGTGGCCTCCATCAAGGCGCGGTTCACCAAGGTTCACACCATGGCCACAGCGGCGCGCCCCTGATGCCACTGGCCCCTACGAATCAGCCGGGCCTTGAACGCTCTTCGCTAGTGTCGCCGATGCAGCAGAATAATACACACAATGGCGCTAATACGACAAACAGTGCTAATTCACACAAAAGGCCACTGCAACAATCTCCAATGAACGGGAACGTTCAGCAACAGCAGCAACAATCGCCAATACAAGCGGGTGAGGAAACTCAATGTGTCTAGTGTATTCGTCACGCCGTCAAGCGGCTCTCATCATTTTACCTACCCGATTTTTCAGCAGATTTGGAAAGCCTTTTACCAGCAGCGATTCAATTGTTCCACAAGTTCAAAATCTAAAAACATGCTTTCTGAGTATCGTTAACAATCCTAGCCCTATCGAAGTCGAACGTTCACCACCTAGATATTATCATATATTACCATTAGATGGTTAGAGAATTACTACTTTAATGAATTTCTAACAGGTCCCACCGTTAATTTTTCCTTTTCGGTTTCCGCTATATTTTTTTTCATGTTAATTGTCATCATTATTATTACGCTTTGCCTAGGCACACCTGGCGCACCGAGTCAACCCGAGCCAGACATCCTCTTCGATGTAGGAGTTAGTCCCGCTGCTCCGAATAGTGCACAGCCCCCAACTCAGAACAATGGACCTAACGGCGGCTCTAAATAGGACGAGGTGTGGGCAGCTGATTTACTCGGCTGCTGAAATGAGTCAGTGACACAGTCAGGCGTGGGACCTTCGCACCTCCAAGGCGCTAGCTTCACAGACAAGACGAGAGGAACTTTCATCTCGACCTCTAGTACACTGAGCACCGAAGACATTATTGCTATTTATGGAAAAGCGAAACGAGTTGCTTGGTGACCGTCGAATAATATACCGTAATTTATCCAGCGAAACATGAAAAAGGACATTTCGCTATTAGAGTATTCTGTGCCTGTGTAGGAGAAGCAGTGAAGCCCTTCTGACTAACGAAGAGATAACGGTATCGTTCACACAGTGTATTGTACAACAAGTTTTGGCTATCTCTATAGAATTTTGTTTGCACAGATTACTAAAAAGTCAGCCGGAACTTGCTTGCAGCAATTTGTAATAGATTCCGTGGTGCCTTTCTAATTTCAAAATTGGCGCTATGAGAAAATGTCTCAACGGGACAAACACCGGATTGGACGGAAAATAGCACGCATGTTAGAACCATCCAGCTGAGTAGATATGGTGACCAGAGGTACGAAAAGCTTTTCGTCGTGATGGGCCAGTTGTAACGTGTGTGCTTACCAAGACTTACGAAACCGCGGTGGCCTTGGTTCGAAAGCGGGCGTCGATACGTTCCGCTTGATGCTGGACGCCAATCGTTTCAAGCGTCGCTTAGCGACCGTATCGAACGTAAGAACTCGAAAGGTTTATTTCGGTGAAAACAGGCCATATCAATGCCGAAACTCTGCCGCATTTAAATTGAGTTGATATCGCGATGTAATATCGCTGAAACAGCAGCAACGACTATAGTATATTCTCTCATAGCTTGAAGCGTTTAATCTGTATGTAGCTGATAATTGTTAATATTAGCTATTTTAGAAGACGATGGAAGATCTCCGGGAACAGGCAAACGCCCCAGTTCCGAACTAATTACCATTGGACGGTTAGCATTTATTAATTATAGTCGCCATAAAGGCCGATGGTACTCGTATTACGAGCATTTTTTTTTCAGATATAATAGCGAAAAAGATAACGACCGTTGCAAACCGACGTAAAGTGGGCTTAATAGTAAACTGGAAAAATTAGTCTGGAATGTTCTGTTTCGGTCGGCGCGATACCCCAACATAACAAATGTAAGCTGGAAGGACGGTCCGCGGCCGACAGACGGCCAACGGAAACTGTGATGTGTCGTGTTATGAAATAGGGGTGGTATAATGAACAGCCTTTACTATATTATGAACCACTAATTTCTGTAAACATTTAGATCGTTCACATTGAACTATCCTACATAATGTAAATATAGCGTACTAATTATCGTAGGTGTTTCTGTCAAATCGCTTATACTGTCATTTTTCGTGTTCGTAAATTAGCTCTGACCGATTGTATATATAGAACGGTCAGCACAAGACGAGCTACGTTTTACGTCGAAACGACGAAAAACTAGAGACGCAAACGCGAGAAGGAGGCCTCTAGCAGGCGTGCTACTCGGGTCTGACTAACTAATATAATTAGCTAAATTAATTTATTAATTAGTAACGGCATATATTATTTTGTTATTTTGACTGTTCGAATCGATCTACATAATATGATCTAAGTACAGTAATGTAAAATCTATACTGAGTGTCTTTCTCAAATTTAAATAAATACATTTCTCAATAAGTTCTGCTTTTTGTGTGTTTTATTGTGCTCAAGTCTCGAACTTCAGCTGTCATTGACTTACTAAGTAAATTTAGTCATCACATTATTGCCGGACTGTACAATATACTTTAGGGGAGTAATAGTTCAAAGCTGTGTTTATATACAAACGTGTTGTTAAAAAGGGTGAGAGCTTGACTAGTCTCTTACTCATTGTACGCGTGCATCAGAGGCTGTGTGGATGAACTCAGAGCTACAATATAGTCGCCTAAATTAGTTACCTACAGTAAACAGGCAGATGGAGTCATCTTCGATCGATGGGATACCATGTCAATGGCTCTGACACATGTCACATGTCGGCAGTATTTTGCACGTAACTTGATTATCCGAACGCATGCCAAGAGACGCTTCTATTGGCCCATCTCTCAAAGAAGACCCAACCCAAAACTCTTCGCTATTCCCAGCTAAGTATCATCTACCGTACAAGCTGCATCTTTCAGCAGTAGCGAGCCACCACTGTTAAAACTAATTTTTACGAGCAGACCTCGAGAAACAGGCGATCGACTACAAAGACATCAAATACATGTTCAGCTTAAATCATCTGAATAGGCAACGGTAGTCCTTGAACGAATCGCATCAGCATGTACAAGGTACATGGGTACTAGCTTCATTTTAACATGGCCATTGCGCAGGCAGATGGTTATACGGTTAGATTTGCCATAAAAGCATATAAACGTCTAATTTGGTCCTACCCAATTTAATCTCCGTTTAGTCATCGTTTGTAGCGTTTCCGAAAAATGCAGCATACTGTTAGCACGCTGGAACACACCCAACTTACCCAACTTGAGGTCGTGCCTTTCCTACTCAGCGGCGAAGGAAAGTATTTATAACAATTCTATCTAACTTATCTTGCAGGAACTTGCTATTAAGAGATCCTAACTTTGTAATGGTACCCGAACAGGTCTGCAACCTTGTGTGGCTTTAAAAACAATATTGAACTAGATATTTTTCCAAGCTTTTCGGATTTATCTAGGGTTCGCAAAGAACGCCGGCTACACATATCACGTTAATGATAATAGGGCTATCTTTTGAATCTGCATAACTTCATCATTTCTTCTGACCAACCTGAACGCTGACCTATGCGTTATCTACTATGTATGAATATATTTATGTTTCCGAGAGTAAGTCAGCTTAATGCATTCATTGATATTTCGCTCATTGTAAACAATCCGACCGAACTGCTTCTTTTCCTCTCGGTCTCGTATAGCCACCCGTGTCGTTTCGAGGGTTATTCTCGTTGATGTGGGATCAGCCAGGATTTTTATGAAGAAGCCTGTTTCACTTGGCGCCGTTTTTCTATCCCGACGTATATAACAAAAATCACTACAGCTCTGTCACCTCACGGACTCTCCGCCAGGCCCAGTGAAGCCCGAACTCGTTTACCGAGAACAAGTTGAACAGAATATGCAGTTGATGGAGGAAATAAGCAGAGGCTACGGACCTTCATAGAAGCTAGCGTTCACGCTTTCTATCACCGCCGCTGCCGTCGTTTTTCGGAGACCAGTGAAAGGAGATCGCTCCCTTGGGCGCAGCCTGAGATGTTGTAGGAACACCAGCAGTCACCGAGGCATTTCAGAGCGCTCTTTCCCTTTGCTTCTTCTGACGGCTTCGTGACGCCGAGGTAGCAGGGTACATATGGGCGCGTTCGAGTAAGGCTAGAGCCAAGCAAGGTGACACTGCAAAAATTTGTAAATGGTCCAAAAGGGTGCAGCGAATGGAAACCCCCAACGGCTCTGACCCTTCTTTCGGCCCCCTCGCGTTCTCTCTCTCTCTCCGACTCTCTCTCTCTTTCCCTTTCTTTCTTTCTTTCTTTTTCATACGTTGGAATAGAGAGAAACTGACGTATTAGACAGCATAGAAGAACACGTCCAACACATACAGGCGGTCCTTGACGAAAAATTGGATCAGCCGAGCTGAAGGCGGGACTGCAGCTTGCAAAGAACGACAGCAGGGGTAAGGGGTGAGGGGCGAAGCGGCGAAAAAGGAATATGCAACGTGGGCAAAACTCAGTTGGGGCGTTCACCCTAGCTGCAAGGTTCGGACGATTAAGACCGCAGATAACGTGAGCGGTCTGGTTTTCTTGACGGTGGAAGAGGTTTTATTGGAGATGAAAGTGTACGCGGTAAGTTTGAATATGGTTTCAGATAGCGAGACCGTGAAAGGTAAAAGTGAGGTGTTGCATTTATTCGTGTAGAAGTTGTCCAATTGCGTAAGGTGCTGATTGTTTCACTCTGTCACTTTATGAACAAAGAGAGCATTATTGACTAGCAGAATGTAACATCCATTTGGACAGGTGAGATCGTTTATATTATTGCGTTCAGATGGATAATTAGAATAATCAACAAGAAAACAACTCAGTCACAAAAGAACGTTTCAGTATCTTTCTGGATTTCAAAAATGTGTACGTTTTTGAAAATTGTCACAGTTACGTAGTATCGCATATCGGTATTATCGTCCCTTCACTCGTAAAGACTTTTTAACAATGGTATACTATACAACATATGTATATCCGCATATTCAAATAAAACCTTGTCGAGCTAGTACAGAAGCTTTCGAGGGACAAGCGGTGTATCTGATATAGAAAAATGTATTTTCTATGGGACAAGGCACAAAGTTGACTCACTTGTTATGAAAACGAACGCTCGTCCTTTTAGCTGCCGTCCTTCGAAAACCGACAACATTGAGCCGATTGTGGATGCCTCTGAAACGGAAAGAGGACTAAGATGGTCGAGTGCGCGTACAGGGGTTCAAGAAATTTGAATCGTAAACCAAAGGGCTAACAGTCTCAAAACTGCCAAAATCTTTAACGGTCGTTGCCACCCCTATCATTGGCAGACAAGCGAGTGTCCGTTGCGCATACTGCCGCCTTTTGCGTATGGCGAATGCAACCAATAGCAAAGGCGCTCACTGGCAGCGGAGTCAAAATGTGAAGCAGCTGTAAATATTGGATACTCGAGTGACTTTCGACCCAACGATGGAAAGTGGTGTCAAGTGCCCACCAATGCCTGCGTCTTGCGTTAAGCTCCCGGGGGCAACCCGCGTAGACCATTCGAATATTTATGTAGTTTCTTGTCGGGAAAAGGTTGCTGAAAAGAGTTCGCGCAACGTAGGAAATACGGGACGGAACGATCAAACGGCAAAAACATTCTCCACTCGAAGCTTCAAAAGGCTCCAGGGAAGTGAAATGCCAAAGAAGATTTTGGTGTCAACAAAAATCTCCATGGGGTAACGCCTATGCTAGCGGTAGCTGTAAATATTGCTGAATGTTGAAGGGTTGGTGGCTGGAACGATTTCTCAAAATCCACCAGTCGTCGTTATCTTTTACGTATCCGCATGCGAGCTACATAGAACAAATACGAGTTAATGTATAATTTTTACTTACACTGATTCATTTTGCTTCACTAAAACGTGTGAGATAGCAGCTCTATATTTATCTCGTCGAATGAATTCTATAAAGTTCACTCTCGAAGCGATTGACTGTGGTTAGATTCTACTATTTAGCATTTTGCCAGTTCCTTTTACAGGACAGTGGTTTGAATCCGTCCCGTCAATCTGCATTCAGTTTCTAACGAACGGATTCGACACCTAACGCACTCCTTTTCCAACCGTCTCCCAACCGTCCGTACTGACTCCAATGGTTTGTAACTTGTAATGGTTTTATTACAGACGCTTTCAAGTAATCCCCACCAGTCCTGTAAATAGTCGTTACATAGACGAACAGACTCAGGCATAGTACCGAAATGTGCGCCAAGTTGGACACGCGTCCTCATTGGAGCACCTATAACGGATAGATTCCCTTTGAAACGGCTTATCCGTTCGACTTCTTCGGGGCTAAACAACACTGAATTCCATCATGGAGCTCCTCAAGCGAGTCAGTACACAATTTGCGGTACTAAAACCATCCAAAACAGAGTTAACGTTGATGCTATAGACGCTCGTAGAGGCAAAGGCCGTTCGTTTTGAAACTGCGGAAGGCGTTTCAATGGTGTCAGGAAGTAGTTTCAGATTTTAGGACCTCACTTCGGAAAAAGGGGTCGCGTGTCCTACATCAACGCTCAGCGCCTGCCAATGTTCATGCTAAATCTTTGAACAACAGCAGCCAATAGATAGGCTGCAGTTGTCGTCGTCCTGCTCAATTCTCCATGCAGCATCGATATTTGTTGTTGATTTTACCTACTGCATAGGTGCTACTGGAGGCCTTTGTCGTGAAGCATATGCGTATCAACGTGTTTCTATTGAGAAACGCGACATAATAGTTCGCTGGACCTATTGATTAGTTTCCATCGACTCGCACCACCAGCAATAAGGCTTTTTCGATTGCCGTAAGGTGTCCTGTCCGTTAAAATGTGCAAGCCGTCTTGAAGAACGTCTTTTTAACTTGGCCAATCGAAGGCCGCAGCAAATAGGTTTACGTATAGGAGCACGCTGGGGAGCGTGCTATCTGATCTGGAAAGGGCAACGGAAGAACGAGTTCAACTTAGAATCACAGGAAGCTCAATGTGAAACGCGTAGTTGAATGACTTTACGACAGAGCCATGCAATGTCCGAAACGAAGGCCAACAACCGGATCAGATGGGTGCAAGGAATAGATGGAACGGCACCAAAAACTCCAATTTACAGGACAACACAGATTCGCGCTGCAGACCGGCAAATGCGTAAATAGATCCGCTAAAGGGGTAAAGCCCATTTTAGTTCCAAGGGTGGGAAAGCGTGTAAGTCGAACAACCCGATTTGCTACTTACGTTATTGTCCTTATATAATAGCTGCTTATTTTTTGAAGTTAGCTAGTAGCTGTGATCAGAAATTTAGCATTTAGTATTTCACATGGCGACTAAACGGTTACTCATCTATCGGCCTGTAGTGAAGGGACGTCTGACAAAATGACCAATTAGGTATATTTAGCATAACATCCGATACGATTGTCCAACACATCGATGGTTTGTCATCTGTGGCAAGACGATCACTCTGCAGTGACTTGAGCTTACCTTTCGTCCAGTGCGGTGGGCTGACGCACGATACGAAATACAGGCCAACCTGAAAGCGCTGTTCTAATCTAGTAAATGCATCCGCCATATGTGTCCTGTGCCTCTTTTCTGTGTGTCGATTCAGCCGTCCGTCTGACGATTTGACTACGACTAACCCATTGGAAGCTAATTGAACACAGCGAGCGCGGTATGCTAACGGTGATGCGTGAGTTGTAGATTGAACCGCAGTCCTCTAAATCACTTCGTGCATGGCCAGAGATCCATTGCACTGTGATTTAAAATTCTACTCTAAAATTTGATTCTCAAAGAGCATTACGGCTTGCTTAAGCCATATTACCGACGAAGAACGGTCAAGGACACCGCATCCATTACGCTGAATAGTGTTAAAAGTTCCAATTCGATAACAGCGACCACGATTTCCACCACTCAAATTGACTGAGTTAAGCATAACTAGCTCAAGAGAGACCCAGCCAACGTACCTATTCAGTAATAGGATTATCTTCACTGACTAATAGGTGTAATCAATCAGACTATTTGTCAAAATTTCAAAGCATTATTTCAGAGATGTTATCTACACTTAGCCTCAAAGCACGACTCGACAGATCACTCGTATTCTGTATTGTAAAAGCGATATTGATTTGGCACATTTACGTGCCCCAGTTGAAACAGCCTCTATAAGCCGTCTATCGAGAGGCAAGAGCCAATCTCCGCCGATCGGACTTACCTACTACTGGATTAAAGGACCCCACCGATACTTGGACTTCTCACCAGATGGAACATCTATGGACCGGTTCAAGTGATGCAAGAAGTTACAAGAAGGCAAATAATAACCACGAAATCCTTCAGCGTCATCCTATAAGCTACCTATAAACTTTGACAGTCTTCGAAAAGTTTATTTGTTTTAATTGTACTTCGATAATAAAAAATGACACTATTCAAATTAGAAGATTGAAGTTACTCTAGGCCGAACAATATAAGCATAGACAAAAGCCAATGCGTGATACGTGGACCTTCATGAACGATACTAGCTTTTCCCGAAACGCAAACCAGCTATTCGATATAACGACGCCCTGAGCACGGCGCTTTTAGCTTTTTCTGTATTGGTCGACGTTAAACAAGACGGGCTCTCACATCGCGGTGTAGCAAGAACGCTATTGCCCTAGGCTAATTTACTTTGCACCCCGAAATGGAGCTCGAAATTACCTCTATATATATATATAAAATAGAGAAAGAGAGAGAGAGCGCTGGTGTGAATTTGCGTGTGAATACATGGACAGTCTGAATCTTCAAGCAGACGTAATTCAAGCAGGCTAAGAAACGGTGTATATTTGTTTAAAATGATTAAGATTCTTTTCATTGATTGGAGCGTCTGCTATGCGAAGCAGTTGTCATAGTACATGTAGTCTGTATTCAAACGTGGCATTGTAACCTCTATTTTGAACACTGCCTTGGAATATGTATGCATATTTCGGATGCTAACTATATTACTCGTCCTTTTATTTTGTTCACCTAGCACAGATTACTCCGTCCATAAGCAAGCCAGTTTTCAATGCTGACAACTCTCACTGGCGATAAACAGTAACATACTGCTCACTCAGAGACTAATGTAATAAAATTACACCACATATCCGGATCAACTATGGTAGCCGTATAGTGGGGTAGGCCTCCTAGGGAAGTTATGTCTGAAATAACACTATCGGAAACGATGAATGCAACGATATTAAAACTCTCCCCGCCGTCTTTTGACGATTGCAATGCTATAATGGCGGTCATTTGGTGCCTTTTCACACGTTACTCACATGATAGAATCGCAATCTTCTTGTCCGTTGCTTTGTGGCCACCCAACCCAGACCATACACATACACAAAAAAAACAGCATCGAACATTGTTCTATATACATGTATGTATTTATAGTTTATTGTGCATTTATACAACCAAAAAACAACGACAAGGAGAACAACAATAACAAGAAAAAGAAGAACGCGACGTGGTTTTTCGCGACAACCGTCCTTTTCTCCGCAGCTTTGTCTACTTCTATACACTTATTGTCTATTCTATACAGGCACATGCGTCTTGTGGCCGAATTCAAACGATTGGTTAGTGGCTTTACCTTTAGAAGCTGTGGTGCACAAGCTATGAACATATTTATTTAGTAATTTACCTGATATCAATTAATAACACAAACAAATAATAACACTTGACGTACAGCTGAAAAATCTTATACTGCATACAAGATTGTTTTTTTTTTTTGTAATTTTTCATCAACAATATTACCTATATAGTAGAGTACAATGCTCGCTATACAAACAATCAAACGATAATTAGTATCCATCTGAATAAACATGTTTTAAACATACAAATATGACAACTAGTATTGACATTTGACAAAACTACTTACTCGACAAGGATACGAAAATAAGTACTCGAAGAAAAAATAATTGTAAAAAAGGTAAAAGGGAAAACACCGAATATGGAGCTCGAATGAAGTGATTACGATGGGGCCATATGGCCAAATGACAGCTTGCCATAGATCCGCCAATCCTAGAGAAGGGTACTCCTTCGTGCCGGCATAGCATGTCTTGTGCAAATGGTGATCTCGTGAGTATGCATTAGAAATGATAACTGACCACGGACCATCATATTTTAACTGTCTCATTTTAAGCCCAACAAGATTCTGAACTATGGCCAGGTGGCGCCCTCCGCGGACGTCAGCGGAAACTTGTCTGTATCGCGCATGAACTATATTTATAGACGCTGCGGCCATGAGAATCTAAAAAATATTATTGAAGACCTGTCTGAAGAATCCTTTGAAAGAAATTCATAAAGCAGAATGAAAAGAAGTCTTACATCGTAATGTGTATATGTCATACGTTTACGTGATTCAACAGAAAAAAATACAAATCAAAAAAAATAACTCACTTGGATCTGAACATTAAATCGAATGCAATGGTTTATAACATAGCTTGTAACCTGTGGAACATCGAATACACGTAATTTGATTTCAAATCAACCGCCAAAACTGGGTGCCACACTAAAACACTTGCATATAGCGCCAATTTCATTTTGAAGATTTGTGCTGATCATGAGCATTAGTTACACACCTATATCCTGCACCAGACTGATGCTTCCTTCACACATAGTGCGCCTCAAGTAATCGACAGAAGCTGAACCAGACAATTGAAAAGAAACTTATTTCGAACTCCTGCATCTGTACTCGAACCGGAAATCAAAACACGCATTAATTAACCAACATCTAGTCGTCTATTTCTATAAAAAGTTGTCGTGTTGACGATGCGATATGAAGTGGAAATTTCCATATTACACTTAACGAAAAGTAACAGCACATGACAAGATAATCATAATAGATATGAGCTATTAAATATAGCCGATGAAAGATGAATAAACACATTTCAATTTGACAAAAGAGCGGTTATAACCATGTGTGTGCACATGATCCTTTCGGGGCGGAATCATCATTCCAAACCTGGGAGAAATGTTTTAATTAACACAACTGTTTTTATCGTTTAAATTAACTAATACTCAATCTTACCAATTCCTGGGATTTCACCAATACATTATATTGAGGATTTAGTGAACACTGTTTATTATGCTAACGGTAACAAGCGAATTCCTAGAACGCCGGATTTTTATTGACAGCGTAACTATGGAACGGTACAGCTGTTTGTTGCCGTTGTTTACAAAATCACAACGCTTCGGACGTCGCCTTCATGCACCATCGTTGTCAGGACCAAGCTGTCTTCGACAATCCCTCAATCGACTACCGAGCCCAAAACCTATATCTCATGTCCAAATCGTTTTCGTCGAGAAAAAAAGCTCAAAGTTGATTCTTTTGGTGTTACGTTGTGGTAGTTGCCACATGAACGGGGCCACTTCATAGGGTCATAAGAATAACCGCACAAACTTGTTGCGATAAGAATTATACGATTATTATAAGAATGGTGATGACAGTTATTATGGACATCGGTACATATATGGTTTGACAAATTGCAAACTGGCATTTTAGCCACTAAAAACGCGTCTTTTTCGAATCAGTCACGGATAACTAGTAAAGACGCCTTTGAATAGGACACAATACCTACTTTCACGCAGAACATACGATATTATACGAACTGACAGCATTGCTTCAATGCCTAAGGTGAGCTTCATTATTCATGGACGATAGCGGGGTGGAGAAAGATATTTGACTGAGCTTCAGAACAGTAGAGCTTTATGGTGCGAACAAAAATGTCAGCATGAGAGTAGATTCGTGAGTACATCTATGACAAGCAACTATTGATTTCGTTTATCTGCAAATCAATTTTATAAGAACAATAAATGCATATTTATCTATATAGTGGTATACATTTCTCAACATTATCGCCGAGTCAATGAAGTCTTTCTCTACCTCTATTATATCTCTACTATATGATGCTCTCAGTTACGCTTCTTCTGTGCCCTTCAAGCTTTAGGTGTCCGATGCTATCGCTAAAAGCCTGAGAAGTCTCTGAGGCTAAATATTCTATATAAGCCCGAATGATCCACAAGAAGTGTTTGTTTTGCGAAAACGCAGCACGAATGTAGTGGTTAAATCCCTTAGGAACTGAAGGGCATACTATCATCGGAAGGTCATTCGGTTACATTAGCGTCTCGGTAACAAATTTTATCTTAATTGTGTCCCCAAATTGCACTGATACACAAGAAGTCCGTTAATACTCTATACAGAGTACCTACCTTATTTACGCTGACCGGTAAATTAAATAAGAGCAATAACTTTAATTAGCTAAGGAGAAACTACCCAAGTGTGCTGTAAACAGGTGAAGAGTTTTCTAGAAAAGACGTTTCCTTTATTGAGATATTGGGGACAAATAAAGTTAGCTTGATCTGCTACTAGCAAGCAAATAGCGGGAAACCAAATTTGCCTAAATGCATACAAACGCTCGTAGTAGAGAATTCAATGTCGATCCGCCACGTTCTGTCTTCAGCGAGTGACAATGGGCGATTTAAGGGGTTGTTCTGACCGGGGCCTGCATATACTTGCCGGAGCTCTTGAACGACTTTGCACAGGAAAGCTTCAACTGACACCTCGTGAGACGCTCGAGCCGGTGGAGAACCTCTACAAAATGCAAGAACCCGTTAGTGGCAAGATGGCAGAAAAGGGCTATGCGGTACGAGTTTTTAGTAAGAAAACTGTGCGCGTTTTAATCTTGTATCAATAAGATTCTTCACAGTTAGGCGTGATGTTGGTCTTTTAGTATGGTGGCGACGTTGAAAGTCGATGTCGCGCTACGTGTATTGTTTATCAAATCAGTATGTAACCAAATGGTCAATGGTTCGGGGAAAATGCGTCCGTCCAATCAGTCGCACTTAAAAATCATGTAGGCCCGAACGATGGCCAGAAGTTGACGTAGTTATCAATAAAGGACAACCAGAGAGGAGTAACATCGATTACTTTCGAGTCGAAATGGCTTGGATCCGGATAATGGGACTCCAGTGTCCTATACAGGAACCGTGTGATACTTGTGGCATAAATTAAATCGGGGTGGGTAACGGCGTCTGCGGACTGTGAGAACAAACGCAAGTACGTGAATCGAATGAATCAGTGTCATTTTATGCCGATTACATTAGAAACACTAGGTCACGTTGGTGAGGGATCTAACTAGAAAACGAGGTGAGTAGAACGTAGCTGCGTCATCAATAGTGTTGAAAAGTAACGCCGCCTTTACAGTCGCGCCAATGGGTTTCGGGTTCGAGGAGCGCGGTGTCTATCGTCGCTATGCTATGAATTACTACATACTCGACGTTAGATACAGCAGGTTCTGCTTTCAGTATTAAGCGTCTGTCTTCTGTTTGCTGTTAACTGAAGGCACTGCAAAAAAACCGCTGTCCCGAACGTGAATGAGGCTGGGTTTTACCCACAAGAAACCGAATAAGAGATGAGTAATTGCAAACCCGTTGCCTGCTTTGAAAAAGTGTTCAAATTGAATAATGAATTTATAGCACGCAATATAATGTTCATAATTTTGTTGCACAGATGCCATGCAAAGCAAAAGTTATTACCAACTATCAAAAGTGGTTTGCTTCCGAAGGACGATTCCGATTGGAACTTGACCCGGACGATCGCAAAAGTACCAATTTAGGAAACGGTAATCTAAACAGAGCGCTGGATAATGTTAAAGAGGAGCTGAGAAGACGACATCAGGATAAATCAACTACGCGTAAAGGCCGACAGGTAAACAGCAATATCAGATCAGACGTACTTCGGATCGTCAAGGAGGTTAGTACGAGCCCGAACTGTCTTTGTGTTAATGGAGGTTTTATGACTATGAACTGTTGCTGTATCGGCGAAATGAATACATATACATCACTAGATTAAGAAATTAACTTAGCTATTGTAGGACGCTCAAAAACGCCTATATTATATTATTGCTGTTATTTTATTGTATGGTACAATATTATCGTAAAACTAGTGTTCGTAATATTTCAGAGTTTGCGGCGGAATTTCCGTAAGTCTGTAATGATCGTCTCCTAATTTCGAAATCGGGTAACGCCTCTATAAATGAAAACCGGACAGAAATTACACTTTATCATAACGGGACTAAACATCTATTGAAAGACGGAAATCGCTCTCCGAATTATAGGAATTCGGTCGGCTACCATTTGCGGCCTCAAAAACGAGTTGGGCCGACTGATCCTTTAACGTGTGGTCGAAACATCACAGACGCAGTTAAAAATGCTCTATCCACCCAGATTAAGACAAGTCAACTTCTATGCGTGGTCAGACCGATATCCATAACCTCGCGGTTGGTAACCTGGTCATATTATAATGAGTTGTGCTAGAATGCGTATCTGAGAGTTTGTCTGCCTTACTGGCACACGTAGTCAGTATTTCGAATTTTGTTCAGGCGGCTTCAGTAGTCAGTCCGAAGAGTGACAGTTCATAAGGCTCTCAATTAATCGACCTCTGCCAATACTGTTCAAACGCTTTTCAATCATACATATAACAATATAGTATTGCTAGATCAGAATGAGTATAGGAATATTTCAGGTTGCATGTATTTATTTCTCTATAACTCGAGTAGACGAGATTCCGCAAATCGACTAGACGGCTCGGTTGAATTTTTTTTCTTATCTACACTAATTAAGCTTTTGCGGGTTTCGTAATGGTAACGATTCCGCTTAGCACGCTGACAAACCCTTAGCCATCGTAAGTCATAACCGAGAGCGCTTCGTCGAAGCTATCGTGTGCTGAAGTGAAGTCCATTTCAACAAATGGAACAATCATAGGCTTGTCGAAGCTATCGTATGCTGAAGTGAGGTTCATTTCAACATGTGGAACAATCATAGGCTTGTCGAACTACATCAGCAAACAAGCTCAAGTCCAATAACACAGAACTTCTAACCTCACACAAAGCTAGGGCAGTGTTAATAATTACGCTTTTCTATGGAAAAAGCGTCGTTAAAATCGATGTTTGTGCACCCGTGCAAAAAGGTGTATCAAATGTTAAAAAACATAATAATAGATACATATTAACATAATAATAATAAATTCCATAGTATACAGCTGTGGAAAATACATTTCCAGAATGCTACTGGTTGCGTAACCAGAGAAAATACATATGATATAGACACCATAAAGGCTAGATCAGCCTTTCCCAGCTGTTCCTCGAGTTCTCATGTTCCTTTCGCAGAAATAAAGGTAGTACGAAAATTATAGAGGTTGTTATGCTTAAATTACTAATGGACCTGGATTGCGTTTGAAATTTTGTTATCGTAGTTTTTGCAGTAGCAGCATTTATTGGAATGGGTATCTGAGAAAAGCCATTTTTTTTATGGGAAGCCCTATTTCGTTTATATATTTGATATTTTCGTTTAGCAACTTCGTTGTTTGCGTTCTATGTTCTATGTTCTAACTATGTTCTGAACTTTTCGGACGATAGTGTCAGATAACACCGTAGCTATGAAACCTGCTTTGCATAATGCATTCGACCTCAACCTCTATAAAGGAAAAGTTTGTTATTTTCCGAATACTTATGTGACACAATTGAAAGCACCAAAAGGAATCAGTAAAAATAGCTCACGAAACATATGGGCCTTTTTTCTCTCCTAGAAAACTTCTCCCTATCTTGCTTTCTTCTTAGCGAATATATGGATTGCTTGACTTTTTTTGGTATGTGTCGCTCTGCCCACTAAGCAGCATTTTTTAGTACAGCGAAGCGGTTTAAAAATTCTTGCCCTTTTATTTAACAGCGTGCGAAAGCAGCGTTCCCGACAGATCAAAACAGAGAAACAACGTCAAGAAAAAAGTTAAGCCATCACAAAAGTAAGTTAATTATGACACCAAAGCCTTTAGGTCTAGAGCAACAGTTGGAATGCCGTTAACCTTATTATTATTATTATTTTATTATATTAACCTTAAACTAACGATTTAATCTGCAGATTCCTAAATTCTAATACGTCTGCTCTTTTCCAGGCTTAGCAGAAGTCGCCACATTTCGAAATAAATCTGATTTAGCCTGCAGCGGCGTACATAGCCAACCATATGATGGTTGCTAAAAAATGAAAGTTAGAGTCCTATAGATTTTGAAATGCAATCATCGATACGGCATGCGTGTCAACATGGTCTCTGTGATGTCTTCTGTAGCTCTATTCTACATCTGTACAACAGAATTGTAGTTGATTCTCCATTGCTTCCAGGGTTGAACGAGCCGACATGGTACGCTATTTTATGTCCTATGTCCCGTACAAAAACCATTAGACATTACAGTAAGCGGTATATTCCCGGCCTGTTCAAAGAAGTGTATCTATTGCTGTTCGACTCCATATCTAAACCATCATGGGTTCAATACAGACAGCTATAGAGTAAACCCGATTTTTGCCTATAATAAGAAATATTCGTTTATTTAACCCATCGTAACAAAGCGCGTGGCGAAGTCAGGGTTATTGGCAGCGTAAAAATTGTAACAGCTATTGTTTATCATCAAACAGCTCATAATGAATTAACTCATTAAATTCGTCCCTGGGCCTAGGGCGGCTCGCCTGGGGCGGCTCAGAACGCTTTAAACTGCGTATAGAAAAACAAAGCATTAGGTTTCGATATTACTAAGTATGGCCACCACCTTATTGTCATCCCTGATCTTTGTTGACTTTAAAAACATGTCCCAACTTTGAAACATCACGAAGACAATATAAACAACATATAACAAATGAAAACCTATTTAAATAGTCAAATTATAGGGAAACTAAAAAAAAAAAAGGTTTAGAATCACCAATTTGACCCACCCAATTAAACACATTGTTAGTCTGCTTTCCTTTCACCAGTTCGTCTGCTTGCCCACGCACGCCGCCTTTTCCCTGTTCTAGTACCGCCCACAGCTTGTCAATGACTATAGCCGATAAAATCAAGTTTATCAGCAGCAAGTGTATATTGTGTGGACGACTTACTGGTACCGCTATAAATACGACCTACTTGCTCTACAGCTGGTTTTTACGCAGCACTAGTGACGAAAATACGTAACAATCTTTAATACAGACCATAACAATGTGCAATATATTAGCTTTGCCACTTCTTGGCTGCGATAACTAAAAGAGTGATCCAAGTGTCCCTGAATCTCAATGCCAGCTTGACTATAGCTTGAAGCACAAAGAAGAATCTTATCCTTCTTAGCAAATCGATTCGCCCGATATGTCGGAGCTCTAATAGGGAATCTGCCCTCTCTCGTAGCAGAAGGCCGGTAGTGGTAAAATTCAGACCGACGTCATAAAAAACGCTAAATACGAGCCTTAAGGACATGACGTATTTGCTAGGGGTCAGGGAACAGAGCCCGATTGTCATGTGCGCCGGGCTACGTACCGCTTATCGGCAGTAGACCGGTAGTAGGCGGCTTTCTAACACTTTCGTTTTAAAAATTAGTAGAACGGATGTTTCTCTTGCGGGATGGCGCACGTACGTTGTTTTCAGTAATGGTGGCGAAATTCGTAGATTCTCTACGAGACTCGTTCCCATATTAATTTTATTTTAACTGACCTGACATTGAAACGAGCAAATCTGACCCTAGAGTTTGGTTCTGGTTTGGTTCTACTGCAATTTTCGCAGGAAGTACTTTTCGATATCGCCTTTCGCCGCATCAGCCAGTTTTGCAATCAATCAATCATTGATGGAACATTTTCAATTATAAACGTCTAGAGTTTTTTTGGCTGTGCGGTTGTTAAGGTCTCGTCTGGAACGGGACGATACAGCCTATTATGTTTATGCTGAACGAAAGTCTTATGGGGTCATTCAGTTCTAAGAGTTAGAAGGTGATCACGCACGCAGTCTCGTGGTGTAAACAATGGTGTAACGGAAGACATGTTTTGTCTCTATGTGCTTAAATCTATTTGATTAGTAAGGTTTTGATGAGTTTCACACAATCAACAGTTTCCGTACAGCAGAACGTGCACTTTAATATATAAGTGCACGTTCTGCATAATATATTACTTTATTATTATTATTATTATTATATATATATATATATATATATAATAATAATACGCTATGACGGTTATTATGTGTTTCAATAAATAATACAGCTCAAAAATACAATTCTTTGAACGTCTTTAAGAGCGAAATAAAAAATGCACCCTCACGCATATATGCATATCAAAGCAAGTATGGCCTTTAGGTGCCTCAAAGAAAGGGAGACAAAGGTGATGTCTTTTTCTATATAGTATTCCTAACCCATTTGAAGCGCAAAAAAAAACTACTGAAATAGCTAAATCTAGCAATTAACGAGATTAAATGAATCAGTGTAGTTACTGTTTTTTTTTCGGAGTATAATCTTTTAAGTTACAACATCCGAAAATTAGTTTTTCAGATTGAGAAACAGTATTATTTCGAAAGTAATACCAGCAGTAGTCACCTAGTTGATTTAGACTGACAACGGTGTTAAATACTCGAAATAAACTTAATGATTACTCTACTACTTTCGAGATCATCGATCGAGAGAGTTTGTCAAATACACATAGACAGTAGAAAGCTGTTTGTAATCATCACATCCCTAGAGCTTAACTGCATGAGGACGTCTGTATGCAGTCGGTCAGTTTAATGTTTAAGACAGTCAAAGCTACGTGAAATTGCTGCTATAACATTTGAGAAATAAGATTTGTTTATATACGTATATCAATATACAGTGCATCAGTAGTATGTATGGAATTGGGTAAGAAAAACGGAGTTGCAACCTAAGGCGTACTTTATGGTTAGAGCAATTTAAGCCAATTCTAATTATTTTATAATTAATAAATATTTTCCTAATTTGACGGCTAACGATAATTGGAAAAGCTATTTGCTAAATTTCGTTGTGAAGGGGAAGATCTCATAATAACGCTGTCATCTTTGTATGGGTTTTCTCGTCTTCATGTGGCCAAACGATTATGCATGCTTTGTGTTCTACTCTAGTCCAACGAATTCCTTTCATGGCACAAGTCAGGGTAACCTTTTATTAAGACATTACACTCGATTCATATTATGGAACGCCTTCATCGGCTGCACGCAAGCAACTGTTAGGTGCTATGCTTCACAATACAATAATACTTGATCGGTCCCAGAACTTGCACTCGCAAAACCAGAACCTTAGAATTGCTATCCATAACTCATATAAGGCCATCGGTAGATAAAAATAAAAATAAAGGATAACAAAACCCCAAGAAAAAACGACGTGTATAGCACTGCAAGGAATATGGGCAATTCGAAGGTCGGATGGGGCCGGGCTTCCAGTTCAACCTCGACTTGGTTTGGACCGACATTCTTGTTTTTTCGGGTCGCATTGGAACGAACATCATCGCTGGGGCTAGAGGCCGGGCTTTCATTTTTTTCACATCGTTTCTTTGGTTTTGCTTTGACGTCGTTCCGATTCTGACGGAAACGTGCTAACCAGTCCCAGAGTGTCGAACGGGGCGCTTTCATACTTCATGACAAATAATGTGAACTCCTCCGAGACGTTAAATAAACGCGTTTAACACGATTTGTTCGCGCCGTGGAAAGCCACACTGGGCCATTTGAGAGACTGCCGTAAAAACTACTTCGATACAGAGTATCATCACATCGTCGTCAATAAAAAAGACAATTGCGGGCTTATTTAAAATAAATAATCAACATTCTAATATTCGTCTCAGTAAAGCAACCCGCAAAGTTTTAACACTGATTGATGTGCATCAACTCTTCCCTATAGAGTTTTGTTGATCTGTGATTATCCTAGAAATAAAGCCAGGCTTTATTCAGTAACTATTAAACGCTTTTACGGTGCTAATAGCTGCAATCAGTAAGACACTTACTTGAAAAATTGCGCGACACGCTTTATAAACTTGGACAGAGAAAGTACAAAATACGCATTTTGTACATATCACGTAATTGGCCACTCACACATTTCTCTTTCTGTTGCGAAAAAATAACTAGCGGAATATCTCTAACGAAATGGGATTCTTTATTTAAATATTCGTTTAATTAGAGGTTATTTACTTGGAGCCGGACAATCGCCTCCTTTCAGAAATCGTCTGATGCGTTCATTCGAAACTTTCTCTTAAAAGAACGCTTTGCTTCGATCACTTGTTTTGCAGTGGCGGAAAAAACGATTTTATACAAATGCGGACTATTCTCTTCTTGAAAATACAGTTAACTGAACAGACCATCGCCAAAGTAACCTTATGAAATCGCTCGTTTTGTTTTTACGGAACAGCTGTTTACTTGCCTGAGCTGAGTTAGATGGAACACTGTTCGTCGCACATGAGCTTCTCGATTGAAGCAATTATGCTTTCTCCCATTCGAGTGTGTTCGATCTCTAAGTCTAAGTCGAGAACAAACTCATGTATTTTATCGGCTTTAACTAGTAGTTTGAAATATTAAAGGTTCTAAAATGTTGTGAGTTTTATCGACAGCAAACTTTAAAAAGAAACTCCATCTAAGTTAAGCAATTCGTCAAGCAAGGTCGTCACAGATATTCATTCACAACGGTACGTTACGGCCCAAGTCTAGACGAGATCATCGTAAAGATAGGACGGAGATAAAAGGCAGGATTCGAAAGAGGGTCCACTCGACCTTGGAACCTACGGAGATAGCATTATACAGTGCTAGGCGAGTTAGTGGTCAATGTTGTTATCAATTATTTTCGAACAATCCGAAAGTCATCGTCGGTTATTTTTCTACTACCTGTTAAACTGCTGTAAATATTGTATGCAAGCAATCAGTGGACAATAATCAGGTTCATCTTCACTGTATTTGAAAGCGTCGTATCGGTCTTCTACAAACACGTGGACTAAAGTGTTTCGAAGCATTGTTTTAAAGAGAAGCAATGAAGATGCTATCAAGCGTACGCAGAATCGCGATTTCATTAGGAAAGCGAGCTTTGTCAACGAGTTCAGGTGGGCACGCTTGTTTTCCCATATGCCCTTCCGTATGGACGGGAGATAAAGACCATAGTTTAACCCCGCTTCTACTGTAATAATGGTCTAACGTTCTCCGACTCGCTTGAAATCCTATCACAGGTTTTGCCATCGGTCGCAATGCATCCTTCGACAAGCTAGGTTTCAAGACATGCAAACCTGCATATGCTTCAGAAACTAAAAGATCTGTGTACAATTTCAGCTCAACCTTTGTGTATTCTAAAAAAAAAAAAGTTCCAAGCGGAAAATGTATCTCTTGACGCCGTTCATAATAATCTCGTAAGAAACAGCTAGTTCTTGCGATTGACAAATGCCACAAACTATGCAGGGACAGATATATTAAACAGCTTTTTTTTTGCATTAGATGTTTGATTAATCTGTATATTACATCAGAGACCTCACACTCATTGAATTCAACTACATGTCATACACACATGTACTTTCTAAAACTTGTTGTTAAGCAACGCTTTTTTAACTCTGTTACTCATTATGAATTCTGTATACCTTGGCTAAAGCTTGTCATTTCATTTAGTCATTCAGACTAAATTCTGGTCGTATCTTTGCGCCAATCTATATTTTACTTGTTGGACTTCGTATACATTTCCAAATGTGTGTGTGTGTGATAAAATGTACTGCACAAACTCTTTACTCTAGCTCCTACATGAAAAGCGCACTTTTTGTAAGTGCCTGCCACATCTGAGTCAATAGACTGGCAGCTACAGTTCTATGCAAACAGCGTGTATCAATGTTTCTATGCGCGCAACTCTACGCCAAGGAAGGCCTATTTGAAAGGCATCACCATTTGACTACTGTCTTTCTTGATCCATATTTTCTTGCAGTAGTTCACCTCTACTTGGATTTAAGCGGGATGTTAGTTACTGGTGTATACAGAGGAGAATGTATGAAGTCTAGGGACCCATCCATGAAGTAGACAGAGTAGAGTAACTCTTCGCTCACCACCAATAATTGCCTCGACGCTTTTGTCGGTGTTTCCTTTTTACATTTTTGCCCGTCTGCTAATAATATAAACAATAAAATAGCTCTAAGTTTGCATTCCCATATACCAAAAAACTAAATGTTAGCAAAAAAAAAAGCCAAAGGATATTTCGAATATATTTTCCTCTGTAAATATGTAATAAATATATTAATATTTTCATGTTGTCTCTATAGTGTCGCGGAATAAATTCGACTATCGGGATCCATTTTTACTGGATGATCAGCTATCAGATGAGGAGAAAATGATCCGAGATAATTTCCGGAATTATTGCAAAGAAAAGCTTTTTCCACGAATTCTGCAGGCCAATCGACATGAAAGTAGGTAATTATGCTGATGGTGAACGCCGAATATACATATGTATATATATACATTCTAAAAAGAAATTTATTTGAAAGCTTGTAAGTACCGTAATCTAAATGTCTATGAATGAGTGATAAATTGTGAGCTTAAGTCGCAGAAAAGGATCCAGCTGTACAAAAATTTACTTTCTATTCTATATCTTTAGCAGTTTTTTTTTCCAGCACTAGTTTTTGCTCCATTAATTTGTTCACTATATTTGGCAGGCTGCAATACTTGTCTAATTCTACCGGGTTTACTCTATAAAACTAAATTTCAGTTTGATTCATAACATTGTTTAGAGTTTGAGCGGGAGATTATGAACGAACTTGGTGAACTTGGTGTCCTAGGATCAACGATTCAAGGCTACGGATGTGCAGGAACAAACTATGTAACATATGGCCTTCTTGCCAGAGAGATTGAAAGGTAGGTCACTGGACTTCAACGAAACATTTAGCAAAGGCCATCCTCATTTCAGTTGATACGCGTTAAAAAATATAGGTTTACACAGGCATAATAATTATAGTCTTATTGATTTTACACCAGTTGTTTTTATACTTCTGTCTAGGGTGGACAGCAGCTATCGATCAGCCATGAGTGTCCAGTCTTCGCTGGTCATGTACCCTATTTCTGTTTTCGGCTCAGATGAGCAGAAACAAAAGTATCTCCCAAAACTAGCAAAAGGCGAACTCGTTGGATGCTTTGGTCTCACTGAACCCAACTACGGATCTAATCCAGGAGGTTAGTAAGTCAATTCTGGTTTACTACTAGATACATATAGAAGAATCTGAATTCTGCGCTTACTTTTCTACCCAGCATCATCACAGAAATTAATTGCCAAATAATAACACCTGTCGGTATCTTCCTATAATCAACTTGTTATAATATATAAGAATACAATAAAGACTTTGTTCAGAGTAATTAGCTCAATCTGTTGGTAGTTGCATGGTTTTCAAGGCCATATGTTTATTCATAAAAACGTATGTCTAACAAAAACCCTTACTTCTGTACGTAGATTTATAGCTGCGACCGCGTGCATGTATCCGTGTTGCGTCATTTCAAGTATTAGATGGGCATGTAGGAACTGGTACCATAGCAGTCAATTTCTCTTTGTCAGGCAATGTAACATTATTTCTTTGAAGGTATGGGTACAAAAGCTACTTACAATTCTTCAACGAAGACATATAAAATATGCGGTTCGAAAACGTGGATTACGAATGCGCCTGTCGCTGATGTGTTCGTCATTTGGGCAAAAGATGACTCCGGAGAAATTCGTGGCTTCGTTCTTGAAAAAGGTAAAATCATTTAATATATATATGGTATTACACAATATGAAGACGAATAAGCTTCATCAAAAAATAAATATTTGACGCTATTTCCTCTTAATTGCTTTAGGTGATTCGACACAATTAGCTATGAAAAGCCACAGATCGTCACTAATAAACTGGAACAAACGATAGAATATTTCCAATAGGGAATTTGATTTATTGATGCCTTCGTAATGCCTGAGCTTTTACGCTGTATGCATCGTATCGGATAACCAAAATAGAAATGAAGTTGTTTATTTGATTACACTCTACTCTGGGATTACACCAATGTCAATGAGAGCTGTGATCACACAGCAAAAACTGTTTCTAAGTAGTAATGTTGCCCATATGAATTCACTGTCAGAGAGAAACAACTATATTACGTGTTAACGAAAAGACCATAAACATCTGGACATCTAACTCTAACAATTGCCAATTCTTGTTTGGTAATGTTCAGGTATAAAGGGACTTAGCACGTCGAAAATTGAGGGAAAATTTTCGCTTCGAGCCAGTGCGACCGGAATGATAATGCTAGACGATGTTGAGATCCCCGAGACAGCGCTTCTACCAAAAAGCCAAGGTCTTAAGGTCAGGGTGTCATCTTTAAATCATTTAAAGTAAAGGGTGTCATCTAAAGTATCTTTAAAGCCTTTTCTGGTATTTTCAAGCGTAATTCTAGCCTTTCTTCTAGAAACTGTGTGCCTCAGTACCTCATATATGCATGTCTAGAAATATATCTAGTTGCGTATTTTAATAGTGAACATTTGACAATTCTTTTCTATTTTTGCGACATCTTAGTCTCCATTCATGTGCTTAAATAATGCTCGTTACGGTATCGCCTGGGGCGCGTTAGGCGCTGCTGAATTCTGTATGGAACAGGCTCGTCAGTACACGCTTGAGCGCATACAATTCAAGGATCCACTTGCGAAAAACCAGCTCATTCAGAAGAAGCTGGCAGACATGTTAACCGAAATTAGTATTGGCTACCAGGCCTGCTTACGGGTCGGGCGCCTGTTCGACGACAAAAAGTAAGTCATGCAGTGAAATTTTATCAGAATTAGCCTGAACAAAAAAGCCCTCAACAGATGCGGATAACTATTATGCCTAAACGGTGTGAAGATTTGAATGACTTTTCGCTGACATGTGATTTATATGTATACTTGAATATTGTCAGTGTATCATACACGAATGATTCCACATATTTTCAAATGTATACATCATTGGTACACTTGCGACCAAGGTTTCTTCGCTGATGCATCAATACAGCAGGCGTAAAAATTAGTCATTCATAAAAATTCATTCAATGTGCCGATTTCTCGTTATGATTATGTTTGACCGGTTCAGAATTAACCCGGAAATGATCTCAATCATCAAGCGCAACTCCTGCGGAAAGGCATTAGACGTTGCTCGTCAGGCTCGCGATATGCTTGGAGGTAACGGAATCTCTGACGAGTACCACATTATTCGACATGTTATGAACCTTGAAGCCGTCAATACCTACGAAGGTAAGTTGGAAGTATCATCGTTTGCAAGGTGAACAGCCATCGCCCAATTATTAGCTGCTTCTGTATAGTTGAATGACGGGCGTCGGTAAATGCAACAGGCACTAATTGTCACAATGCGCTTTCAGTATAATTTGCTGCTGATCTCATTTTTCTGTAACTAAGACAGTTTTATTTTTTCGTTCAGTAAATGATTAATACAATAAGAGTTTTTAACGACAGTATATGCAAACTATGGTATTCCGTCTCATTAACCTATTTTACAGGTTGTTGGAATGCTTTTTCCTTTGTTTAATTAATATTGCTATATCTCGTTAGTTATTGAGAAGCTCATTCCTTAGCTTTTATTATTGATCTATTTTGCTAGTAGTTGAATAGTTTGCTATCATTAATATTAAGGAGCCTTTATGCAGCTTCAGTAGGTTTATTTTATACGGCTCATACATACCTTAACATATACCATATACAAATACCGTAACATGTTTCATTTGTCTAGGTATCAAAAAGGTTTATAAAAATAACGATTACAAATATAAGAACACAATTTATTAGGTTAGAACAAATAGGTCAACAGGGCGTTTCACATGATTCTGTTTCAGGAACGCACGACGTCCATGCGTTGATAATTGGCAAAGCTATGACCGGCTTGCAAGCCTTCACCTCGGACTAGAAGATGGTTGATATTTGATAGACGTATTTGCAAAAAAACATTACTGAAACGAACAATAACGACATAACATTTCTACAAATTTTATATTTGGAGGTGATGGGACTGCACCTTCTTGGAATGGCGAAAAATAAACAGTTATTTGTAACTTCTCGTGTCCACTTTTTTAACAAACGCATAATGCGTTGGGTGGCTTGTCATATTTTCCTAGGCGACCTTATAGGAAATAGGATTAGTAATGCGTATAAGAATTTTTTGAGTAACGCTCGAGAAGCCACTTCGCTATTGTCTGTGGTTCTCGGACATACGTTCATTTAATTAAACTAATACATTCTTTATATTTTCAGAATGAGTTGATGTATCTGAAGATGTAAGAATTTTTTCTCCTCATATTTAACATGCCACAGGTCTCTACAACGACGAATAGTATAATATTTTTAGATACTCATATTTCCTTTATTAAGTTTTAATGAGAAGGACAAATTAGTATTGTCAAGGTATTTCTTCTTGTATTGAATACATGTCTGTAGAGTATATAAGTGACATGACGTTCTGGTTCCATGAAATTTACTATAAGAAGCCAGTTTTTCTCTCAAACTATTTTCGTTAACACTATAAATAGACACGGTGAAATCGTTTGATCTGATCTTTCACTAAACGTTTCAACTGCGTGAACTCGCAGCAGTTGAATAATTTAGTAATAATAATAAGTAAACCAATTAAATTAATTTCCGAATTGGAATAATTTAACTGAATGCAAACAGAGAATAAGTATGATAAACACTGAGTATCGATGCCCGTCTAAGATTATGGTTTACTGCATACGTTTGGTGTGGCCGCAAGTTAACATGACAGCTTAACGTTCTAGGCCTATTGTAGCTAGAATGGGCTCCCTGTACTGAATTTCTTTTATCGATAATAGAGCGATCAATCAGCAAAGTTTTAACCAGAATATAGTTGTAACGAAAACTTTTCTCACGCAGAAAACTGTTTTGTCTGATTCTGCGTGAGAAAATTTAAAGCGATTTATCATCAGATCGGTGTTGCCAAGCCCTAGTTTGACACGCTGCCGCAGTACTTTGCACGTAACCTTTTTTGTCGTTCTACTAGGACACTGTCGAACCTATGGGTTGTTGGTATAGAGTCACAAATGCATACTTAGCTATTTTTCATTTTCCCAGTGTAATGCCTAATTATGCACAACATAATTTAACGAAATATATTTTTTTTATAAAAAAAACTTTTAAAAAATACACTTAAAAACTACTTTTATGGATAAACTACATTAGTTTAGTTTTAAATGCTACTCAAACAAAACTTGAGGCGGTTGTCGGTTAGTACAATCTGCAATTGTTCGCTCTTCGAGATTCGTTATGCCGCTAAGGTTACGGTGATAGCGCTGTACCGTTGGAATAGGTGCTGCTTTCTTGCCGTAAAGTGTGGATTGAGCCTACAGTAACGTGTCCACTTGTAGCCGGTAAAAACTTTCTCTAAATTGTCGTCGTAATTAGATCCTACTAAAGAAGAAGGTACATATTCTTTGTTAGTATGAATAACGCTAAACCTTCATCGCCGTACATCTCCTATGTGTATAAGCAAGCTGAATAGATGGGCCACGTTGTGCATCGAAAATATCAGAATTGACATTTCTCCTTGTCCTTCCCAGAAAATGTGGCGGCCATTTTCACTTATTACTGCACATATGGCTGTTGCTAAAAGCAGAATGTTCGACTAGAGGCCAATCAAGGCCAAGTGGCTGGCTTTTTTTAATCACACCTTTTGCAGCCCGGCCACCCTGTGGTTGCCCGCCAGACAGAGATCATCTCATCATTACACGTGCGCTGAGCTAGTGCTAAATTGTACAGCAACCGGCCACTATGCCTAGTGATAGTTCCATTTCTGTGTCGAAACGACAGAGGCGAAGCGAGCCGGTGAAGTCGGAAGTTTTTGGCTACGCCGTTCCACTGTGCCGACGCCACCAGTACTTGTGTGATCGTGTCGTTGGTGTAAGCGTTCGCCCATTTCGACGTTCAGTGTACACTTATTCATCTTTCCAGAGAGCCAGAAATACCGAGTTTTGTTTGTGTCGGTTTTCTGCTCGCTGTGACACAGTACAGAGGCTATCTAGGCAGTAGTGTCGAAAACGATTTTCCACCGTACTTGTCACCGTCGACACTAAACGCACAGAATGCCGTCGGATGCTAAGAAGAAACGTGATGCGAAGAAGAAGGAAGCTTTAAAGAACCGGAATAATCCTACAAAGAAAGCTGATTCGCCGGGTGGTGACGATGCTACGAATGGCGTTAATGGAACGACCACAAATGGAGTGATCGTCGAATACTCGGAGGATGAGATGGACGAGGTAACGAAAAAGTTCGAGGAAGACATGAAACTGAATGCGGCCGCGAGAGCCGTCACCGGCGTTCTGTCTATTCACCCTCGATCGCGTGACATTAAAATCGAGAACCTTTCAATTACGTTCCACGGTTGGGAGGTCCTACAAGACACTAAGCTCGAACTGAACTGTTGTCGGCGCTACGGTCTGATTGGCCTGAACGGCTGCGGTAAATCGACCTTGCTATCGGCTATTGGTCGACGTGAGTTACCCATTCAGGAATGTTTGGATATCTACCATTTAACACGTGAATGCCCCCCCTCAGAGAAAACAGCTCTGCAGATGGTTCTCGATGTCGACAAGGAGCGAGCTCGGTTAGAAAAGTTGGCCGAGGAACTTGCTGCGTCCGACGACGATACTAGCCAGGAACAGCTAATGGATGTATATGAACGTCTTGATGCTATGAGTGCCGATACTGCGCTCGCTAAAGCATCCTACATCTTGCACGGTCTGGGATTCACTCAAAGTATGATGCACAAGAAGTGTAAAGACTTTTCTGGAGGTTGGCGTATGCGAATTGCGCTTGCCCGCGCCCTCTACGTCAAGCCGCACATTCTTCTGTTAGACGAACCCACAAACCATTTGGATCTCGATGCCTGTGTATGGCTCGAAGAAGAACTCAAGACCTATAGTCGTATTCTCATTCTGATATCTCATTCACAAGATTTCCTTAATGGCGTCTGTACAAATATCATTCACATGAACCTGCGAAAGCTCGAGTACTATGGCGGTAACTATGATCAGTTTGTCATCACTCGTAACGAAATGCTTGAAAATCAAATGAAACGCTATAACTGGGAGCAGGCACAGATGTCCCATATGAAAGACTACATTGCTCGATTTGGTCATGGCTCAGCAAAACTGGCCCGTCAGGCCCAGTCTAAAGAGAAGACCCTCGCCAAAATGGTAGCTGGTGGGCTAACAGACAAGGTTGTCTATGATAAGACTGTCAGTTTCTACTTCCCATCGTGTGGGACGATTCCGCCTCCCGTCATCATGGTACAAAATGTGTCATTTCGGTACACTGATAAGACGCCATTCATTTACAAGAATCTCGAGTTTGGCATGGACTTAGATACCAGAGTTGCCCTGGTGGGACCCAATGGAGCAGGCAAATCCACGCTATTAAAGCTGCTCTGTGGAGCCCTAGTGCCTACCGATGGAATTATCCGGACGCACTCTCATCTTAAAATCGCCCGCTACCATCAGCATTTGCATGAATCGCTTGATGTTGATTTGTCCGCACTTGAGTACATGATGAAGAGCTTTCCTGACGTGCGCGAAAAAGAAGAGATGCGAAAGATCATCGGAAGATACGGCCTTACCGGACGTCAACAAGTACGTATATGAATAATTATTTTTGTTTTAGTTATCCTCTTACTGAAGCGTAGAGTTCTGTACTTTTTTTTTTTGACTGTTGTTGTTCTATCGTATATTTCTATTGATAGTACGTCCTGTTCAGTATAAATACTCTCGCATAAATTGTAGATATCTTCGAAACAAACTATAGCATTTATCTGAGCAAATTTTTTTGTGATAAGATCATAATGTAATATGGGACATCCGCTCAATCAGTTTACCGACTTATTGTCGAAAATTTGATGCCGATTTGAATGCCGATGTACATATTTTTCTTCTGCAGGTGTGTCCCATCCGACAGCTGTCTGATGGTCAGAAATGTCGTGTCGTGTTTGCTTGGCTAGCGTGGCAGGTTCCGCATATGCTCTTCCTCGACGAACCTACGAATCACCTGGATATGGAGACGATTGACGCACTAGCCGAAGCCATAAATAACTTTGAAGGAGGCATGGTGCTCGTATCCCACGACTTCCGGCTCATTTCGCAGGTTGCCAACGAGATCTGGGTGTGTGAGAACCAAACTGTCACCAAATGGCGTGGCGACATTAAAACGTACAAACAACACCTGAAGAACAAAGTTATGAAAGAAATGGAAAAGATGCGTGCCTGAACAAGGAAAATGAAGTAAAGATCATCGCGCTGCTCTGCACTCTTTCTCAATTTTGAGCCGATCGCTAATTCGCTCATTGAAATAACATAAGAAAAGTACAGCGAAATGTACAAGGTAGAACTTGTAGACGCACATACATTTGATTGTAGTGAGTTGCTCACTGGAGTCGAAATGGCATAACGTAATCTGCCTAGATCGCAGATCGATCTTCGCCGTTGTTCGGACTCGAGCGTCTTCAACTACACCGCACTATTGTCTGTCGAGTTTCTATTTCCTTTGATGAGAAGCAAGCAAGTTGCCTGCTGAGTAGCTAATGTCGCGGAAGAAGGCGAGCAGATTGCTCACTACCTACAAGGGTATCACCTGTCTTTCGTGGCCATAGACATAAATGACAGGCCGATACATGGTGTATTATATGAATATGATATAGATTGTCGGCTCTACTATAAAAACAATACAATATATAAACATTTCTTAATAATAATAGCTTAATATTAATTGAATCAACATTTGACTTCTTATTACTTTTGAGAGCAGTTATGTGCTAGTAACATACAAGTTGAAGGCCAACATATGTTAAAGAATGACTTCGCTACCCCTGAACTTTTGCAAAGCCGACAATTTGAATTGTCTAGACAAGATCTATTATTACTGCAGCTATTGTTATTATTATATTAGCGTAGTAAGACCGAGCAGTGAGAGACTGGAGGCGAGAGCAGAAGAAACGGGCTATATAAGCAGGAGGTGTAGGCGAAATTTGCGCAGCAGGTAGAGGCCGGTAAGAGGGCTTAGAGGTGGGAAATAAACGTGACAGCTTAGTTGTAAATGCAAATGATATCATCGAAAACAGTTCAGTCGTATAGCACAGGCAGAAGGTGATGAACTAGGTAGTTACTGCAAAAATGCGATTTGCGACCACTGATGAAAATATCCACAATCATAGAGGAGACAAATATTACGAACGTTAAAGAAGCATTAAATATAACAACCGGTCTATTCCTACCAGCTGCGCGAAAAACACTTAAAAGTCGACATCAGAGTCTTATAGGAGTTCGTCAATTAATAATAGTAAGAATAAATGATTTATTAATCATTTATTAAGCGGGAACAAATATCTAGGGGGTTGAAGGAATAATTATGACTATTTTATTATATTAAGGTATAATAAATTGTTACAAACAGTACCATGCTGTTCGTACTGGAGCGAAAGCATTTAACATGTGTATTGCCTTTTCGGACCTTTATTAGGTAACCAAATGAATGATTTGCTCATATTGTATACGATGTGCTTTACGGTTAAATTTTTTAGAATTTGCGAAATAATTTTCTGAAATTTTCGCCTTTTACTAGGTTTACACATACATTGTCCAAATGAATAAAGCCATGTAGAATGTCCATACATTATTGACTTCGGCCAAGGATAGCTCCGGATCCGAACTAAATGTCCGCGTACGGTGTTTTATTTGGAAGTTCCCTTCCTCAGCTTCCTGCCTATAACACATATGACGACCCTATCGCTGGGAAAGCATCTTTTTACGACTGTAAAGGGGGTGAGACATGTGGTGCGATGGATATTTAGCACAAAATATAACAACATTCAAATCATTACGCCAAGATCGAATGCTTATTGAAATACGTGTCGTTCATTTCAGTTCGGTTTGAAACTCGAAAATCTGGAAAGTCCCTTTTATTCGTATTCTATGTCAAAACACAACGGGCTTTTTTGTCCTTGCAAATATACCAATAATTGCAAAGCCTCTAGTGGAGAACATAATACATGCGTGAAATAGGGGACGCGTTTAGTCTTCATAGATACAGTTTTTAGTTTCCAGACAATTTTTTATTGGTCCTATCTGATGGTAACTAGCAAACGCAAGTAGCCTATGCTAGTGTCACTAGATTTATAGTGACAAATGGGCAGCACGCCGGTCGATTCAAAAGTAGTGTGTAAGTGCCGCAAGTTTTCTTCAACATATACGTTCAGAAGAAGTTCCTTTTTTTCTGGCTAGCAAGCTACTGGCACTTCAGCAAGTCGCCAGAGCAGCGAAAAACTCCGTCCGAGTGTCAAGGGAAACTTTGTCGTTGGCAAAAATACCGAGGCTCCGGCCTATCCCAAAGTACTGGTACCTACTGATAGTTTATGAAGCGACTAATACATATTTCAGTTTTCTTTCAACTAAAAGACTAGGCTCTTTTTTGAATGCCCTTTACACTTTGTGCGTAATACAGATCGTTTTGATCATGTCCGTGAGACTCTTTTTCCCAAAATCGTCCATTACAATATGGTCTGTTTCAGAAGATTGCCGCTTTCTGATCTAATCCTAGTAATGGGAACCAACATCTTTACAATTCCGATATTCAATAATTTGAAAATGTATGACCTGATCAAAATGAGTTCGTATCATGGCAAAAATATGATTGATATTAGGAACACGTTTAATTAGAAAATACTGTATTCAAAAGGTTGCTTACAGCTTCGACAGTATACTTTGCTTTAATTTTTCTTTTGCTGTAAGCACAATCTAGATATTTCCATATGATAGTTCCGGCATGTTTCTATGCGACATAAAATAACATAGGCTTCGAAAAAAATCCACAAAAGAGTTGCTTTGGCTTCATAATAGGCATTGTATATCTAGGGTGGACTCCTAGAGAACATGTATTTATATTTCTCCCACAAAAAATTATTTTCTTGAGTAACTCGAGGTTTCTTGCGTATGTTAGTCGTGTGTTTGACCATTACCACTTCCAGGTGTATTTATGCACTGTAGATTTTGCGTTACAGTTACTCTAACTAGCCTTATCCGTGTCTGATCGACGAAACATGATAACGCATATCGAAATATTTATCAATTTGACACTAAGTTGTTCTTTTAGTAAAATAATTTTTACTTTGGTAACTTTGGTAATAATAGATTACGCGTTCGAATAATAATAATATAATGATTTCCATAAGATCTATACAGCAATCTTTCAAATTATAATTTTTTTTAATTGGATGTGGAAAATTTATGAAGAAATTTTTCCAAATATATTTAGTACGTAGCCATATCAAAACCACAAGGAACATAACATGAAAGTGGGGAATCTTAATTCAGCTCTCTTTCTATAAGTTGTTTCTGAAATTGTATCTAAATCAAAACCGATGTCTTTAAAAATTTGTTTGCATGTGCTAGAAGTGCTACCCCTAACGGTCTCATTTATTTAACACAATTACCACCAACTGTAATTAAAGCTTCAATTAAAGACTTAAATGATTCACTAGTTATTTGCGAAACATTATTTTTTGACTCGCAAATACATTTTTTATCGTAAACGTATGTCAAGTGGTACGGATAGATGTACAGACAATAGTGTTGTCTAAATATGGTAAGTACGAAAAATTCCAGTGGAATTAAATTTTGGTTTAACAGGACGTCAAAGGTCTCAAAAATTCAGTGAATCAAAACAGTCAAAAAATGCAAAAAGGCTGACTGTTAAAGCTTATATAGTTTTCCAAATTTCCATATGAAAACTCCGGACTTATCAAAAATGGCTTTTTGAGCTATTATGATGTTGATTCAAATTTTTTCCTACTGATGGTATCATAATACGCCGCTTGGAAATTTTTTTCAGGTTTTTGAGAAGCCCCATGAAAATTAGTAATAACGTAGACTGTCGATTTCAGTCAAGATAAACGGTGTTCAGTCTTGGTGAAGGTTCGTCTAAAGCGAAGAGATTAGGTCACTGATTTTCGGTCAAAATATGAAACCAACACATGATTTTTGAACAATAAAATGAACATAAGTTTGTTTTTTGTCCTGAAAAAAACTGGCTTTGCTGCGTACTAATATACAAATGACTAAGCATAAGGGATGAATTTATTTCTACTATGACTGTTTGTAGAGCTAAATACTGCACCTTGTGTATAAACAGACAGTTCGAAACAAGTATTGCTAAATTTCCTGAAATATTAATTGCTAACTATTAATTATTTGAATTATTTCAATTTAACGGTGTATTTTTCAACCCAGAACATTGACGCACAAAGTACTTGTTATGACCCCGGACTCCTCGCGTATTCGGAAGCCAAACTATTTTAATTTAAATCGATTCACGGTCATTTTTGCTTAATAAGAAAATGTATCTTCTTTCTTATTTATATTTAAACCGCCTGACAATTCTAACTGAAACTCGTGATTATCTTGCAATAATCCTCATTTGGCTTCTTATTTGGTGGAACTGAAATTGTGTTTAATAGTCAAGGTTGACTTGAAAATTAGATATGCCAAAAAATAGATGAATCGTGGGAAGTATTTCTATATATATAGTTTATGTTTCACATTACCTAATTTACACACAGACAAATTATGTTAGAAAGAAAACACAGTAAATTATGTAGTTAATAGTATTTAACTTTATATCCTAATGAAGGTTGTAATTATTTACATTGTTTAAAGGACTTGTTGGGCGTCACCTGGTAGAGTTGACTTCAGTTTCATGATGTCAGTTTATTTTATCACATAGTTCTATCAAGCCAACTGGCGTATTGGTTTTCCTTATTTTCAATACTAATGTTTTATTATTTGCAATACATTTTCTAGCTAGTTTTTAACGTTTGTCCCCATAGTCAACTGTACCGAAAAATCGGCCAAAACATTATATAAAGTAACAAAATAAACAAAAATATAACTTAATGATTGCCAGCAGAATTGCTGATGTGGCTGGACTTTCTATCGTTGATGTAGACAACGCTTATTCTTGTAGCAAAGGTATTCTTTCGAACGCGTTGCATTATTTTTTTTATTGTTGTTCATCATACAATCTTTTGCATTTTGTACAAAAACATTTTTGCTTGTGAACGAATTATATACTTTTAATAACGCAGGTTGTGTAATGCAACCCAATAAATTTAGCTGACTGAGCAACTGACAGAAGAAGACTACAAAAATATTAACGAAAAAATAACGTCAAAATGCAAATTAAATGGATACAAGCTGTCAGCCTCATTTGTTGATTAATTCCTAAAACAGTTGTCAGGTAAAAGCAGTTCTGTACACGAACTCAGATTACAGTATACTCTAGCCATCTTCTTACACTGTCAATTCTTTTCAATTTTTAACTATATGATTTGCTAAATATTTTTTTTTTGTTACAGCGCCAATGTCTTTGTAATTGATAATATTGTATTAGCTCAACGTTTATGAATGAACAAAGACTCTGAGTATCAAATTATGTTTTGATTATATAAACAATGACCAGAGAATGTTTCGAAATAGCAGGAACCAATTTAAATTTGGATGACACTTTTTTTTAATTTTAAAAAGAACGGAAATAGTTCAAACGGGCTGTCTTTGCGAAAAATTTTATAAAACATAGTAACCATCGAGTCAGAATTTACCAAAGTAAAAGACTCTCTGGCAATCAAGTATCAAGTACTACTATAGATTTTTCAGCAAATTTTTATGTATGAAAAAGCTAAATAATAAATGAATTCATGCATTTTAGTCCGTGCTTCTAGAATTTCGTAACCTATATCTCATTGTCCATTTGTCCAACTTATTTTAACCATCCCATATACAGAAACAGTAGGAAAACTCTGATTAATGTAGCATTTGACTACTTAATAATAATGATTGGAATGTATGCTTGACCCCATATGGCATGGAGGTTAACCCTTCGACACACCTAAGGTTGCGTTGCTTTGGAATGGTATTGTAATAATTCTACATTTTGTCATCTCATCTTATTACAATGAGTATAATTGCAGTTCAGCACAGCAGTAGGGATACGATCTTATGTAAAGTAGCTCAGAAACTATACACAGAGTTGGTCATGTCTCGTCTACCCAGCAGTGTAGAAACACTACTAAAGAGAAACTGGAACGGCACTACGTGTGTATCTATGTGTTGCCTTTTATTTATCTGGCTTCATAAGGCATTAGCTTTTTCCATTTTCGTTGTCACTAAATAATATTACCTTTTTTCATAAAATTCACAGCTACGCTTATCTTTAGTGCTGCGTCTGCTCTGCTATAATAGAACAGTGTCATATCTACAGTATTGTACATTGTGCCAAATATATATATATATATATATTATATAATCAAGGCTCTGTGGGCAGGTTCTGCATTTGAATTTTGGGGTCTATATCTACACTTCAGGAAAAGCATCGAGTGATGAGTAAGCATTGGGGCGATTCGAGGAGAAAATTCGAGAGAAAAATAATCTAGTTTTCTAGCGTTTGCAACATTACTGTGTCTTAACTTACGGCGCAGCGAGCTTTTTAGAGTTTATAACGCTGATGTATGTGCGTATACTGAGAAATATAATAAAGAAAAAATTCAACAAGTTTGTCAGAGCGGATGCCAAAAATGTCCTGTAATCACGTAATGCAGAGACTGCCTCTATTCCTTGTTAAATATACATCAATATACACAGGCGACATTTTCGCTCTTTTCTGTAGTAGAATCATTTTATCGGCCGCGATTTCTATGCATCTTCAGCTTAAGTTAAAAGTTTCGCTTCTTAAGTGTAATGTTTGTCTTGCCAGAGTGGAAGACGATTATATTTGTTAGTTCACAACTGCAAAATTGATTTACGGCACGCGCTTCTTACTGTTATTATAGTGCACGTCGTTACATTTGCCGCCATTCCGTTATTTAATGTCTTCAAGAATTTTTCCGATCGATATGGTTTCGTTCCAAACCGCGAATGGCCATCGTAAAAGCATGGCAGTTTCACCTTTTAATCAAATAACTTTGTGATTCGACAAAGACCAACTATAATCAATTGGCGCTGGTTTCCTTACAGTTTACTTCGGCATTAACGGTGTTTCTTTTTCTTGCATTACTTTTGCCCCATGATACTGATCCTATGACCCGTTTCTAGATGGATTTAATTTCTTTTATGCTGCCAAGATGATTATAATTTTAGTCTTTTGTGGCAGAATAAGTTGACTGCTGTTATTTGCCCGTCAACATCAGTTCTTTTTTCACTGCCATCGTAAAAGACACATGCCGGATGGATATTTTTGTCTAAACGATAGATTAATAATACAAAGATGAACATGGACGCACTCAAGGGCTAGGTCGGTATTTCTCTTTGGATAAATTTTCGAAATACTTGTGGCGTAGATATGATCTCATAGTCACGTTCGCGGATATCTTTGTAGTTGGGTCGCTAGCGCTTAAGAGCTTAACGATAGTATATACCTTTTGTATCACGTCCATCGCTTTAGTAGCCCCCAGTTATTGTATCAGCTAATCTTAGAGTGATCGTAATCATAGCATGTATAGTAGAATTAGCTAAGATCATTGCTAGCTTTCCTCCGAAACATCGATTATAGCATGCGGTCGTTGTAGCTATAAGATTCGATTTTTGCACTAATCCTATATTTAACATTAAATTAATTACCTAGTTTGTTCAGGCCACAACGCTATTAAGTATTTGAATACTGTATTGATGATGCCATTCCGCCATTTGTACTCGATTCATATGCGCTTTCGCACCGTTACTTCTTCATCACTTTGCTCCTTTCACTCACTCTATCCACCTCTTTTTAGTGCCTGATCTTGAAACAGACCCTGAATCCTGACCCTCGTCTAGTTTATGCAACCTATTTGATGTTTCAATTACACCCGCGCAGTATTCTACCACTGGATTGTCTTGCGCCAATAATTCACTGGCATCTATTAATAATAATTACTACAGAGAAATATTTTTCGGTTTTTATCGTCTCCTCGTTTTGTTAGCATCCTTGCATTTTTCACGGTGAGCCGCTTTTTCGCGAATCCTTTTCTTTTCTCCTTCTTCTTTTTAATGATCAATGCTCTAATGATGCTTTTATCGTGCTACAATGTGTTTTTTTTTCACTTCGGCAATCTCAATTATCTAGCTTGCAAAAAAGTCACCGCCATTTTTCCAGTAGCTTTATCTGCTTATGGTTATCGTCATATGTAGCACACTATCATAATTAATTGCCGATGTAATTCTATATTTCCCTTCGAGATTCATTCTCCTTTTTGCCAGTCGTTCATAAGGTCGGTGTCTGCGTTTGTGTTGACGAGCTGACGTGAACGATCTTGTTAAGCGCCGTCGTACTTCGGGATGTTCGTAGACCTTCAAACGCTTTGAAGACACCCGCCCCCCCGGCGGAACCTTGTGAGGCCCCGAGCCCAACTGACGAACCTAGTTGTGCTGACGATCCAGTTGATCCGGCGCCCGGCATCAATATGTGATTACCATTGTTTTCATCGCTGAATGAATGTGAGAGACGGTACGTCCGCTTCTTGCTGTTTAACCCCTTCGCGAAGCGCTTTGGGCTGGTCACTTGTTCCGACGAGGAGGCCTCCGATGGCGAGGGAGTGAGCAAACTTGAGGTCGCAAGCCCGGACATCCCTGCGGCCCCAACGATTCCGTTGGGATCCAACGCAGCTCGTGCTAATGCAGACGCGAATGCCGCTTCGCGAGCCATTAGTTCACGTTCTCGCTGTTCCACCTGTAAAAAAGATGTGGCAAAATGGAACCAGAAAATTGCACAGAGGCAAATAGCAGACGACAAGCATTATTATTGAATATGGGGACAGTTATCGGGAAAAAAATAGAGAAACTGATCAGGAGATATAGAAAACAATTGGACGACGTAAATTTCTTCTAATTATATAGTGGCCTTATACACAAAGTAACATATATGTTCAGATATAGCTGAGGGAAGCATCGTATATTATGATTAAATATATATATAATTTGAAAAATTGCTAATAAAATAAGTTTATCTAAACGAAAAAAAAAGTAAAAGCAAGCCATGAATGACGTCTAGGGTTCCGTTTTATGAATTATATAGAACGCATTTCCCACCTCTACACAAATGCATAGTAAATTTTAGGTGGACACTAAAAACTCTAGCGACATGTACTTTAATTTCCATTTTAGAGTAAACTGGAGGACAAATCCCATCTGCAAGTCCAATTTTCGTAAATTCGCTTCGATCAATCAATTGATTTACCTAAAGAAGTAAATAATTTTAGCGAAATTAGAAACTATGCTAAATTACAATGCAAGCTGTGGGAAGCGTCATGTTTTTGCGTGGCCACGTTTTAGTATGGTGACACGCGTCTTTGTTGTCTGTGTATCCATCTGTATGTCTGGATAGCTCGGTTATAACGGGCACAGTCACCTTGAAGCACTTAACCAAGCAGTAATATCGATTTGGCTAATAATTATGAGCTCAAACGAACTCTTTTGCTCATAGGCAGTTTTCAAGGGCATTTAGAGCAATTATATATGAGAAAAAACACACATTTCTTCCCTATAAACTCCTGTGGTGTCGAGATACAATCGTGAAAAGGTAGTAATTTATAAACGTATTGACAGCTCAAGTAGGATACATATGCTCTAGTGCCTTTTAGTGATCAAGAATACGAAAAAAATATTAATTAATGAGCATTTGCGATAATCATTAATCATATTTTTTGTCTGAAGAAATCTATAGATTTTTTTCGTTTCTTTTCTTTTTGTATCAACATGAAAATCTGATTGACGAATTTTCAGTCTCCTCAACTGCACCTCAAACATTGCATACAACGATTCATCTATGATAAATGCCATAAGTAGCTCACTATGTTCACACTAAAAAAATGCAGTATGGAAATGTTTACAGGATTTTGACTTTCGAGAATCGCTTTCGCCTCGCGGCAATTTAACGGCAGCTTGACAACCTAGTAATACGTAAGCGTACTATATCATTAATTTACAATAAAAATCAGATCTTTATTACTTGTCGTCGTTAGATATAATCTGGTCCTAGTCAGGGACATATCTACAGTGGAATAGGTTGAGATCTGGGCGATGCCCATTACGGTCTCGCTATACTGACAATAGGAAGTAGACCGTATAGGATCGCCCGGGGACGTTCGCTCCGTCACGCTTCATTTGTCAAACTTTGCGCCGTTACATGTAGAGTAGAAACATTAGCTAAATTTAGAAGAGGTAATAACATTCAGCGCTACCAAGAACACCAGCTGAGATAAGCCAACCAAACGTATTCAATAGAACCCGACTGGCCTTACGGTATTATGTCGGAATACCCCGAACGTAGTGCAATACTTACGAGCGCTAAGGGTACAGTAACGCGACAGTAAACGGAAGAAAACCGAAACTCTTGTGGAGGACCGGTAGATCGCACCGATACACAAACATATCACACTGCAGAATTTCAATGCCCGTTACTAAAAAAAAATGGCAAGCGTTTCGTGTAATCGACTACTGCGCAGCAGCAGTGAATTTTAGAGAACATCTTATGAACCGAGTATGATACTGCGTCGCTGTTATTCAGGCACAGATTTATGCTGAGGTTACATAGAGCAGAGATCAATAAAAACGCGTCTATTTTCCGAATCGAAGCGATTTAAATTGAAAAAGAATACGGGTATGGTTAGCAAGAAATCGGGAGCACATGGAAAGTGCTCAATTCTTAAACATATATGCGTTGTAATTTAAACGGGTTAAGTATTATCTGTTAAATTTATAGTACGAACCAGCGTCGCAAAACAGTCGTATTACAAAGTATAACATCTTCCTGAACTGACAGAGACTAATCTGCGTTCTACAGTAGTTCCCTTCTCACAAGATCCAATTGTGCCAGAATCTATGATCGTCGATCAAATCAGGAATGACTTATTACATCATACGCAAGAGAGTTCTGTTGGTAAAATCATTAACTGGCATATTGCGTTACGGTATGGTACTCTTTATCTGTGACTGACCAGAGAGTTACCCAGACAACGCGTTTCTCTAGATTCACGGCCGCTGCAAGACGCTGTATAGATGAATGTTTTAGCGGTGCCCTTAATGTAAGTCGTAATAGCAGAACTATATGCGGATAACGACCCACGTGTGCTACGGAACTCCGTCTTTTATCGACGGTAGTAGTGACTGTTGCAGTTGAAGTGGGCCCGTCGTTACCCACACGTGCAGCTATTCAATAACTGCGGCCGGCTCAGACCCAGCTAGGCATTCATGTAGGATCATCGAGCTATACAATGTAGGGCTAACAAAACCGCATGAAGAATTTCGAAGCTTGGGCAAACGTCATAAATTCGTCACTGTCTAGCGACAAAATGGTTGTCCACTAACGGAAGTGAACGAAAGGTAAGGCCAAATGAATGACTGAATAAATTAATTATGAATGAATCATTCTACTGAATTAGCCCTCAACTAAAAAACATACCCAACCACAAGATCTATCTCTGCCATTGTTTCATTATCGATAACGGCGCCCTATTGGTTATTAACCAATTTAGCTATGTTCACATTCGTTTAGACTTTATGTTCAGGAAGAACGGTCGTTCCGTGCCAGACACCAACATTTGGTATATTACATACTCAGTAGTTGAGATAAACAGCTGGCAACTAATCATCACAGTGCTAGGGTGCAGCAAAGGGTAGATTTGTTGCAAGAAAACTGTCAACGGTGTCACGTCGAGATAGCCACGTCAGCAGCGATTTAGTAACTACTTTGGGCTAGCAGGCCGGACGGTGAAGCAGCCTCAATGTATTTGCCGATGATCTGTAAAAGACATTGGATAATCAGATGGCCAGCGCCATTAGTAGATTGCGTCGCGGCTTCCCGCAAGTATGATATGAAGTGCCAAGATAATTTTGATCAGCAAGGCATGCACTTGTTCATTTTGTGGCTAGTTACCCATTGCATGATACGACAGAGACGTGTGAGCGCCTTGACGTATGCACTTTTGTGGCTTTAACGAATGTGCAGTTAACATCACATAAACAAAAAGCTGTGCTGATATTATGGATGATAATTGTAATGTTTTTTTTTTTTTTTTTCAGAACCGATCTAATACCATCCATTGTAACTCCGATCGAAAAACGGGCTGAGAGTTAATAAAATTCGCAGTTTGCTACATCGCTGCGCTCTCACAGGTAGCGGTACATTGAATAGCTGCGCTATTCATTTCTAATCTATCCGCCGCAGTATCCGTGTGCGTTCCATTTTCGGCTTGAATTCAAAAGTTGTGTGTAATATCAGAATCAGTCTCAGATGTGCACAAATCAGAAACCTTGTACAGTTCATCTACTAAATGTTTTCCTTGCCCAGTTTCAAAAAGCGAGTCTATGTAATACATCTATTTCTGTCGTATTTCAACACAAAAAGCAAAATAAGCATCTTGTTTACTTATCACAGTTTCGCCTGTTACAGAGCTGCATTTTCAACGTCAAAAATCATAATGTTATAAAGGTCATTATTTACAGTTATATCAGATGATTATCCCAGGTTTATATGGGTCAGGATGAGGTGGGCTCAATGGGCTACCGCATATCAGGCGTAAAAAACCGGATGCCGTCGGTGCTAATTTTACACAGAACTTGAGAGAACTAACCAAGTGATCTCGAGGTACAAATCAGCTTAATAGGAACGCGTATATACCAATTTTAACTAAGGCATTTAGTTTCTTTGAAAAAAATGGTTCGGACAAAGCAACATTGTCAACATGTCTAACTTTGCAAATAATCTTCACCATAGATTAATATTTACCATGGATAATTATTTACAGCAGAATAATGCGTAGCCATAATGATTATACGGGTCTTCGTTGGCTTTGAAGAACGGTACGCACACTGTTATTGTGCCTTCTCGTTTCTCCACCAAAATTCAAAGCGTGTATGAAGCACTATTTGCGTTATTCAAGATGCGTCTCCACTGCGCAGCAGAACTTATATGAACTTACGCTATATGAATCATTATCTTTGGATCGCCTAACTCAATAAATTATTAAAAAAAAAAGCAGCTTCTCTAGCCATTATCATGGCCCTTTATAAGAACAGCATTTTCCTCTAGCATTGCTGAATGACTGATTTCCTCGCACAAACCATTATTGATTTCAATAGCCTTACCTCCGGTCCATATAACCATACTTGGCGGGGCTATATGAGCCCACGACATAAAAGACTTCAATTGATATTTTCTAGAAAATCAACAAACTGTATTGAGCCCATTTCGGTTAAAATATAAAAGAGTCTTTGCCAAATATATTGATATTTTTTTTTTTCTTGTTGGCACTGGTTGTCTCCAACCATAGCAATAAGCACATTTTAGACCATACAACCCTACCCTACTTTATCTGTCCGTTAATTTGGCTAGAGAAAACGATATATACATGTGCACTTCAATGTACCGTATATACAAATTTCAGCAAAGCAAAAAGCGTCAACGCACCAGCGGAACGATTAGCCAGGTTCAACGGTGAGCCAGCACTTTTTCAATCATCATCGCATTCGCTTATTGTAGCCAACATAACTGCTGCATGTTTTTACCGTGGCCTTTACAAAACAGATTTTTTTTTCTGCCAAATAATAGCGCCTCTGCAAGCAACTAGCGTTATCCCTAATTTCTATGACGACGATGAAAAAAGGACCGCTTATACCCGGTATAGGTTCCTGATCTGTCAACGTTTTTGCTCTCGTTTCGAGCCGCTGGCA